ACGCAAGAGGAGGCTGAGGAAGCCGAGAGGACCGCGATGGAGGCCATCCGCGGGGACTATAGGCTTCCGGATGTGGGTCAGGACGACAGGGAGAATGTCGACCCTTACACCGTGACGGACGAAGACTTGGCTGCGTCGGTAGACGCGTTGACTAGGAGGTTGAGCAATATGCCTGGGTGGTCGGGGAATTTGATCGACCCTGTGAAGTCTGCTGAGCTGGTCGCGGCGAGATGGGGCGGTAAGGCGAGTTATGACAAGCCTGAGGCTCCTCTGACTGAGGCTGGGATGAAGAGTGCGTCATTGGAGGATCGTGCCTACGCACTATCGCAGCTGAATCAGATGGTGAACTTCCACAAGAAGCACCTCTGCTCTGGGCGAGGAGCGCCTCTGGTGAGTGCAGCTGCCCCTAGTGGACCCTTTGCTCCTGACCAGCTGGATGATAGCAGGAAGTTCAGGCCTAGTGGGGCGGCGAGCAAGATGACCTACAATCTTGTGATACTGGATGGGAAGGAGGATTATCTTGCCGATAGGCGAGAGATCAATCCAGAGTTAAGGGAAACGGGAGTTATCCCTGATGAGGCCGTCACTTGCCAGATTGTGGTTCCCTCAAAGACGAGGTTGGGTGAATACCTCCCGAACTACGAGGAGACCGTGGGCACTGTTGCAGGACGGGAGGCGGCGAAGGAGTTGATGAGACTGCTCTCGTGCGATTTCGACGGCTTGGTCATCAATTCAAAGAGAGTCTCGGAGTTATTCGAGGAACGTGTGCTGAAGGAGACCGGACGCGAGGCTGGAAACTGGGTGATAAGTGACCAGGCCATCTGGTTCCTGAAGGAGATTTCGGGCATGGAGAACGCTGAGATGTCTTGGAAATTCTTCATTCCGACGCTTAATGCTTTCCCGATAGGGCAAGTGGAGGCGATGCTCATGGTCATGTACGACGGGGATGGCGTTCTCCTCAAGGAGAGCACCAGGTTGGTTGCCGTTAGGCACCCGCGGATCGGACGCGACTTGAGTTACAGTGCCGTTAGGCACAGGTATACTCAGGAAGATGCACCTGGCGGATCTCTAATGTATGAGATGCATTGGAATGAACTCCCCATGGTGGGATACGTCATCATGAAGTTCTCGGACTTTCGGAAGGCGGTTCAGCTCCAAAGGGTGAGGCGAAATGGAAAGGCCATGATCGAGATATTGTTCACGAGGCCCGATGTGTACGAGACCATTGGGGATGGTAGGCAGGATGAGGGCCTGATCCCACTTGTGGGAGCCATGGCGCCGGATGCTGAGGTATCGCCTTCGTGGTATGTCAGGGACAGGCTGCGGAACTACCCCGGTAGGTACGTGGTGGTAATGGTGGATCTTCGGGTGCACTGGTCCTTGGTTGGACCCGTGTTTTTGACGAGAAGGAAGACTCTTGCCGTTAGGAACGAGATCCACATGGGGGCTTGGAAGGCGGCGTATATGTACGATGATTACACGATAGTGTACCATCGGGCATGGGACTACGGTGACTTCACCCCCGTTAGGGGAGAGCACAAGCGATCACGGGAAGAGATCAGGCTGAATGTGACTGCCACGTTCTGCTTGAGGTGCGCGGAATTGATGCCGAATGGGATGCACTTGTGTCCCGGGTGCGCGCTCCGGTCTTTTACCCGAACTTTATCCCCAACGCGGAGGAAAAGGACTTCGAAACGTGCCACATCGTGCCGGAGTGGGTGAGGACCATGGGGCAGTTCAAGCCCAGGAGGATTCCCTCCGAAGTGGTCGGAGTCATCAAGAGGAATTTGATTTCCTATTCAATGGCATCCGATCTAAGGATGACGGTGCAGAGCGGCATCAGACTTCCCCCTTATCTTGGTGAAGACAAGGGAGGTGTCGATGCGGCGTGGGATGAGCTGGCGAAGGTGCTCTTCCAATTCTCCTATGTGTCCGGGATTTCGGCCTCGGATGCGTTTGTGGAGAAGTGGGTGGCGAAGCACCTGATCAAGACCAACCAAGTCGATAGATTTGAGTCGGTCACGGAGTACTTCCGGGCCAACCCAAGACACGCTGCTCAGTGGGGTAGGCGTATGACGACTTCCGTTAGGAAGTTCGCTCGTCATGACACGTACTTGTCATTCTATATTCCGATGGCATACGTGATTGGTTCTGCGGCTGGTCATCTGACCCCATTGTACCCGACCCATCGAAAGGACGTGGACATCCTGGAGAGTCATGCGTTGATGTCGCAGCTCAGGGGGTACATGGTATCGGAGACAGGGTATGATGAGAAGAAGAGGTTGAAGGAGGCGATAGCCAAGGTGCAGAAGGCGATCAGCGCCGGACAGTCGGAGCCTCCCGCACCCTTCCGTGACCCGTTCGTCTACGTTAGTGACGAAAGGGTGAGGACGGTTCTTGACGGTCGTCAACCCGAACCTTTGAACGTGGACATCGAGGGACTCCAATCGGTGCATCATGCTGCGCCGGGTCCTGGTCCCAAGCAGGAGCCGGTCCCCAAGGGCGGAAAAGGAAAAGGGAAAAGGGGGAAAAGGGCGGTAAGGGCGGTAGTCCTTCCGGCCCGCCACCAAAATCAGGTGAAGTGCCGGGTAAAGGATCCGGTAAGGGCGGTAGCCCATCCGTCCCAAAGGCGAAGGATGACGCTGGACCTGCTCCGATGGAGGTTGATGCAGCAGCAGCTCAGCCGAAGAAGTCTTGGGCCGAGATGGTGGTTGAAGGGGCCAGGCCGAGTGCCAAGGCTAAAGTGACCCCGGTTCCTAAGGCAGAGCCGAAAGGGAAGGCTGCTTCGGCATCTGAGGCGAGGAGTGCTCCGGCTCCAAAAGCTGTGGCTAAGGAGACGAAGCAGGCCGAACCGAAGGTTGAGGTCAAGAAGGAGAAGACAGGCGGAGGTGACGCTCCCGGCGGTAGCCGCGGGTCGGCCGAAGGGCAGAAGAGAGAAAGGAAGTCCCGTTGGGATCCCGACGAGGCTGCGAAGGAGTCGACAAAGCGGGAGGCATCCACGAGGCCTGGCGACGTCGACAGCAGACCAGGTGCGGCAGCGAGAGAAGCTAGCGGGGATGATCTTCACTCCGCGCTTGGCAGATCTTCGGCAAAGGATGCGGTAGCGCCTTTGACTGCCTCCAAGGCGATGGCAAAGAAGCCTGAAGGCGGGGAGATCCGGCTGCAGTCTGCTGAGCGGGCCGCGGCGAGCCCGGTGGAGGGTCATTTCCTGGTGCTGCCTGAGAGTTCGGTGGTGGACGCTTTCTTGTCGATCTCCACCAACAGAGTGCTGAACAAGCAGGTCAGGGATTTCATCAGGAATGGTGAGGACGCGTCGGCACTGGAGGCTCTCAACCAGATCGTGACGAACTCTCGATCTGGGAGGAGGCATAGGGAATCGGATGTTTCCCGTACTCCTTCTCGGAGGTCCGTTAGGACCGTGGACACTAGGGATTCCAGAGAGTCGAGGAGGCGCAGATACCGTCCGCGGCGCGAGGATGATCGCGACAGGAGGAGGGACGATGCTCGTGATCGTCGTGATGATGATTCACTCGATCGGGAGCGAGATCGAAGGCGAGATGATCGCAGGAGATCCGAAAGGGATCGTGACAGGGACCGTGCGCGGGGCGGGCGTGACCGGAGGAGACGTGACGATAGCCGGTAGGCTGAGTCACGGGGATTGCGGCCGATAGGCTTGCGTCCATTCTCCAATGGTCGGCGCGGTGTGGAGGTGGTGATGTTCCTCCCGGACCGCTGAGGCGCGGAGGTCATGTCTCTCCCGTACCGCTGCTGAGCTGCTGGACGTGCTCATCCGGAAGCAGTATGAGTGAGAGGGAAAGCAAACTGATGGGGGGTTACTCCCGGGTTTGCGGAATTCAAGCATTTTTCAGGTACGCATGGTCAGGGGTACCTCTTGCCGTTAGGCGAGGGTACTAATGGACATACGTTATCTTTTATTTCATGGCTTCTGATAAGAATTAAACTTCTTGCATTGTTGATGCAAACAGTTGTGACCTAGTGTCGTCACGTGGACTTTTCCACAAGGTATGTTGGACAGCGTTACCCCGATTAATTCGGGGTGGTGGCGGGAATTTAATGCCCGGGATGTCGCGCAACTGCCTTTGTGGGTTTGCTCCACCGCTGACGGCGGTAGTGTCCAGCTGTTTGCGGACGCATGCGAGCAGTTAAATCCTATCAGTAAATGGCACGCTCCACCCGTCATATGACGGGTTCCTCGTGAGGGGGGTGTGATTAGCCATGATTCATTTCATCAACAGGGATGTCGCGGTAGTGACTGACCTGTGATGTTTGGCTCAAGTTTTGGATCCGGCGCGCCTCGGATGAGCGTCGCCGGGCCCTCACGTCGACCGCCTTCGTGTCGGAGGAGAAAGAGACTTCGGCCCGGGGTAGGTTGGTGGGGATCGCCCGTGCGGTTCATCGTCGATCTAGGTTGCGGGTATCCTTTTCTGGTTTGGTTTGTTTTCCCTTTTGGTTGTTGTTCTCTGGTGTGTGGGAAACCCTGATCTTTGGGACCGGGGATTGGTTTGCTTTTGGGGAACCTTTCTTTTGTGGCTTGTTTACCCCAACTTACCCATTGCCTGGGCACAGGCTCGTGCCCGAACCACATAATGTAAGGATCCCTGTTAAAGCGGTTCCATGAGAGATCCTTCAAGTGGTTGCAGATTGAGGTGTTCTCAATTTCCATTAAGCTCCATGAGGTCCATGAGGGTGATGTTGAAGGTTGTCACTGGACCTTGCGCAAAGACTCCCCCAAACAAGGCTGCTAGTTTGTGGGCTTTCAGAATATGAGGACCCCAACAAAAACATGAATGGGATGATCGGATGTGGGGCAAGGGCCCGAAACAATGGGCGAAGGGGTTCCCCAGCAATCCGGTTCCTTAGGTTCTTAGGACTTCGTTCGGGATCGAGTTTTGTGGTTCACGGTTTCCGTAGCACCCGCCAGCTCTTCACGAGAAAAGGGCGTCTCCAACGGACGGATTTCGGACCGCATCCGCTTCGAGGCTCCGGAGGAGCACTTCCCGGACGAGTTGGAAGAGAGCGGGCCCGGCGTGGATTTTTGGTTCGGCCCCTCGTGACCGGTGACCTGTAGAAAGGTATGACATCTTTTTGTTGAGTTCTCGACATGGGATTGGGAGCCCTTGTGTGTTGGTGTTTTTTTGGGCAACGAAAAGGAAGCAACACCATTTTAGGGAACCGGCTCCTACATATGCACGGCAGCCCCCAGAAGAAAATCAACTGCAACTGTTCTGGCATGCAGCATTGTGATTAGGGCGACCTTGGACAGATGCATTCCCCTCAATTTGATTCCTCTTGGACCGGGATCAGCAGCTTTGCTTTGACTGTTTCTTGGGGGGATCAAAGTCAGCAGGCCTACCAATTTGGGGGGGGGGGGGTGGTTTTGATGATGGCAAAAAAATGAGCCCTGAAGGTATGCCAAACCTCCTCATAAAGAGGACACAATCGGACTGTGTTTGAGGCTCAACTTGCAATGGAGATGCCCAAAGAGGGGAAGCTGTCTGTATCCTGTCACCACCAAAGCCACTCGGTAAATGGGTACTATACATGCACAACACCAAGTGGCAGTCTTGGGACCCACTAGAGGTGGCATTCCGTGCCGTTTTTTGTTTCCCCTCTTTTCTGTTCCTTTGTTTTTTCTCCGCGCCGCTGACCAATGGGCCCTTGATGGCCAGTGTACGAGAAGTATCCGTTTCAGGTCACCGCAAATGGTGCCATGCGGGGACGACAAACTCAGCTCCAAGCCATATCAGGTGAAGGCCATGCAAGACGAGCTCGATCTTTAGGGGCCGCCCACCGCCGTGTCGTTTCCAAAGGCGGAAAGCAGAAGTGTGAGGCCCGAGGTTGCAAGGCTGTGTTAAAAAAGTTGCTGGCGGGGTCGGAGGTTTTCTGGACCATGTTCATGCTTATGTAGCGGTTCTATGCTTTAATTGCCCAAAGCTGACTTGGGTGTGGATCAAAATTAAACAGCTGGGGTTACGCAGGTTGTAGTCCACCTTTCCATTTACCAGGGTTCCATTGTGGACCGCTATTTTTGAGCCACACACACTTTTCTTGGGCGTCTGATTCGCGTGCTGTGCTTAATGTTAGTCATGTACAAAGTTGTTTGCTGATGTCCTGACTGCTCGGGAATGGCGTGGTCAATCGCTTGGGGTCTTCTTCTCTGATACACGTGGCTGTTCACATATTCAGTAGACCGCTTTGACTGCTCGGTAGTGGAAAGGTAAGCGCTGCTTAAGACTGAGGTCCATTGAAACCCCCCTTGAACATAGTAAGGGCTTCTTAGGGAATGCTCCCAAGCTCAAGCCTGGACGGCCTGGGCCATCCCTTGTGTTTCTGTTGGGCATAGCACCTTCCTTATCATGTCGAGGGGGTTGACTGGATCTCAACTGGAGGAGGTCTGTTAAAATGGCCCCCTTTCTGGTTGGTACGGAAGCCAAGGGAGCCGACCCTTTAGGGACTGATTCCTTCGCGGGACCTCTTGACAGCCGGTTTTGAGAACACGGCAGGCTACTTCCTGGCACAGGGCAGGGCAGAAGCCTCAGAGAGATGGGGGACTGGACAAGTTCCATTTCAGGTTGTCTCAAACTAGGTCCCCCAGTAGTGCCCTTGTACCCATTTTTGGGGAGGGTTCTCCTACTAAAATAAACAGAACAAAAAGGGTACCCTTATTCTAACCTCTCTACTGGAGGACCTAGCCAAATGGTACCCCCAAATGCTGAGCTTCCTTTTCGTTTTGCCCACCAAAACGGGGTGCCCTCAAACAAAAACACACCCATTTTGTACCAGTCGGATTTCGGTGGTTTCCAGAATACGAATCGGGGTTCATTCAAGTGCTGCTAAGTGAGTGTCGCCCATCCACACTTGAACTTTAAATCTGTATTCCTTTACAGTCCTCATCTAATCTTGCACTTTGCTTAAGCCCTTTCCAGAGTGGTGCAGGGGACACCAAAAATGGTGGTGTTCCTTTTGGTTTGCCTTCAAACCGTTTTTCAGGGCACTCTCAACACACACACACACACACAGCACTTGGGCGACCAGTAGCAGGTGCCGAAACCGTGGGAGACGCTGGGAATCTGTGCAGAAGAGATCGAGAGGCCACGATCAGAATGCGCCGCGGCCCGCGGCGGAGTCGACATTGGACCCGCGGCACTCAGCTAAAATCAAATGCACATCAACTCCACAGTGCTACTTGGGCAGGTCTCCTTAAAATAAATTCATTTTGCAACCAGTTGAAACATGTTGTTTTTTCAACACCAAAATAAAGGGAAACCACTATTTACAAGTTACAATGTTCAGGTGTATAATATAAAGATCCCTGTTGACCTTTAAATTTTGAATCCTTTCATCCATCCCTGGCTTTTTACCGAGGATCCGTTGGCAAACTCCTTTTGTCGTTTGGAAGCTAGTGGATTCCCAATTGAACCTCCAGAATGGCATGAAGTTGATAGATGTGCTTCTCAGGCAGGTAGACACAGTTGGCAAATGCGGGTCATGACGTATGACGTGTGCAATTTTAATCCTGAACTCCTTCTGGAATCTCCAAGCTACATTTCAATTCGCGAGGTATCCATTTTGTTGGTCAGGTCATAGGTTGATGTTGGCAACATTAAGGGGTCAAAAGGTTCCAGATACTTGAATGAACCGACCTTTGGACCTTCCAGAACCTCAGTTGTGATCAGCTTTACTCCAGAGCCCAGCAGAGTAAGCCCTTCGGATCCTTGGTGAGGGGTGAGGGGTGAGGAAAGATTTGCGTTTTGGTCTGAGCCAGTTTCCATGCTCCACTATGGCTAGATCGGCGTTCTTTTTTGCTGAGGCGGGGGGAGGGGCTGGTGGTCTTTCCAGGCCCCCAGCTCATTTCTTGGTGAGGTGTTCCTCTTTTTGGTCCTTGGGTCGGAAAGTAGCTCGGGAGACATCGGGGCCGCCTACCCTTGCTCAGGGTTGTCTTTTCTAAGTGATACCCCCATGTTTTATGCCTTTTCAGGCAAACCAACAGGAAAACCACCTGCTTCTTCTTCTTGTTTTTTTTTTGGGGGGGGGGGTGGTCCCCCCGAAAAAGAAACGCCCATTGTAGAATTAGATGCCTTGTACTCGGGCTTTGCTTGTGAACATCGATGCCCCCTCTTTTGCAATGTCAGATGCTGGAAAGGATGCTACGGTGGATGCAGCAAAGTTTGAGGAAACCGGCCGCACTCAACCACAGAACCACGGGCGATGTGCGGTAAAATTAGGGTTTCCCTTGTTCCATTCCCTTGCAATATTTGGGGCATCCACCGGGGCCTTCGATGTCCTTTGCATGCGTGTTTTGGTTTGTAGTGTTTTGGTTCTGGTCATTGCTAGTGGGTGGCTGCCAACAAAACAAACGAGATTGTTGCGACCACGAGGTTTGGGAAGTGCTTTCAACCAGCGCCTTCGCACGTTGGATTTTTTGTTGCTTCAGGCCATGATGGCATACCACGTGCTGATGACGAAGTGCAAGCAGCACCTGAAGTGAGGGGCCTAAATTGGGTTGTCTCAAAGCAAGGGACCCCCAAAGTGAATGATGTCCCATTAATCAAACTTAACTCCGGATGAATAAATCCCAGGTTGATTAATAGGGGGGTGTCTTTTTAGTGGGGATTCAAACCACTTTTGGAGGGAACACCCCCCTAATAATGGGACGAGTTAATTAATCCAGGGTCAACATTAGTTTCCATTCACAAAACCCTCATGTAGAGACACTGGCTGCTGCCAAATCGCCTCGTGCTCTTGCGGCGGGAGTGTTGACAGTTGTGGCCCAGTCCCCAGAGGCGCATCAAGTTGAAGTCCACAGCTTTGTGCGGAAAGGTTTCTTCAAAGGGACTCCAGAAGGACACCCAAAAGCCTGGGGGCAAACCCCATTTGAGGTCTGCATTTGAACGAACTCCCATGGAACTTGGCAACTTGGTGGCTCCCAGCCATCCCCTTAGCTTTTCAGCGTTTAGTGGTTGGGTTTCCGTACTTAACCCGCAAGTTAGTCACTTTTAGCAGGGGACCTGAAAATGGACAGCCCATGGAAGAGAATTACCCAAGAGGTAGACTCCCAGGTCCAGGCATAGCTGTGGGTTACCCACAACTCTGCACTTGGAGGTTTGTAGCCGACCTCGTGTTCCCCGGTAAATACCAACCAACCATGGACACAACCATGGTTTCAAAGTGTCGCAGGATTTCGTCCATCCACAGTATTTGGGTCCCAATTAACACTCGAGTTGTCCCCCCACTTAGAGAAGTTTAAGGAACTTTGATTGTGCTCTCGCTGAAGTGACAGCACCTATCTGGGCATGTTGTTTGTTGTTTTTCTTTTAGGCTACCCATTTGGGGGTGGTTTCAAAGGGCTTGGCATTGACAACGCCCAATTTGGTGAGGTTCCTACATTTAGAGGCATGGGCGTATCTGGTTTTACACCCATTTGCGGGTTGGTTTAGCATGAGGGAACCTCAAGTGCTTTCGCTGTGAACTCCCTTTTGATACCACCCACAAAGGCGCCCTCAAAAAGACAGGCGCATCACCAGCACACGGATTCTCACGACGGCAACAGACGTGAGCGGCATGTTGTTCGGATGGGAAGCACAGGACCAATTCCAGCACCAGTTGGTATGGATGAAACCCGATTTGAGTACGGGGATGAACCACCAAGCCCAACCAGGGCCTGGCGCGGATGTTGTCCATCTATGGCAAGCTTTGTGGACTGTGGGTTTTCTTGGGCCAGGATGTTGGTAAGGTTGACCCAAGATGAATAAACCCCTAGTTGATGAATAGGGGGGAAGTGGGGATTGATTCATCACTTTCGTAGGGACCCCCATACCTGCTGTATTTATTTATCCGGGGTCGACATTAGTTGTCTTGCCATGTTGAGAGAGGTAACCACTGCATCGCATATGGAAATGAATCCATTTTGGGAGAACATGGCCATGTGTTTTCATACATCCCTGTTTGGGAGGAAACCGTCCCGCCCATGAAAAGTGGCGCGGCCTAAATGGGGTAGCAAGGAAGGAGTTCCGGCTTCAAAACCCCGAAGCATGGGCGTGGTTTTGTGTGGGGGAGGCGGTTTTTCGCCAAAAAATGAGCCACCAGGTTTCTGGAGGCGCAACCAAGGGGACCCAGGAATAGGGTGGCCTTTGCTTTCCCAGTTGGAAACCTGGGGGCGTTGGGCCGCTTCATCCCGCCCCTTTTGGGTGGGAAGAAGTGCAAGACTACGTGTGCGAAGCCGCGTTCATCGCAGCTCCGTCAGGCCGGGAGAGGAGCTCAAGTTTCCCCTGACCCTCACACCGGAGGAGCAGCTCAATGTCAAGGGATCAAATGGGAAGCCCAAGACACGCTAGGAAGCACCATGCAACCCCCAGAGTGGGAAAGGTGTCCTTTTGGCCCCCCTTGATTTTTTAAGCCAACCCAAGAAAGGGTACCCTCAAAAAGACCTTGTCATGGTTGCGATGCCCCACTATTTCCTGTGGCTGCTTGGCTCGCTGAGAATTTTCGGGGAGAGAGAGGGAGCGACGAAACCGTCGAGTATTTGAGCCATGCTGAAGCGCGCTGCAGCAATTGAATTTGTTTTTGCCCGGCTTCGTGTGGCACCTACTTTCAGGTAAGCCTGAATGGGGCGATTGGAGGATTGATGTGAACCCCCGGTTCTTGCAGAGGGCAAAAGGGAAATCACCCAAAGATCCAAACCACCAATCCAAAAAACCAAATTGGAAGGAAGTTGAAGCTAGTTAGTATGTCAATTTTACACTTACGACGGAAGTCGCCCATGTTGACGTCCGCTTTTTCAAGCACAGTGTCGAAGGAGCGTGGCTCACTCAACATGGGCAGAGAGTGGATGGTTCTACGACCTGGTTTCATGGGGTTTACAGTAAAGCCTCCACAAACTATTTGTTTGACGAGCAGGAACTGCCACAGGTCTAGCAAAGATGGGTACTCCGTTGCGCCGTTGCTGTTGTTCACGCATTATGTTCTCCCCAAATGGTGTCAATGTATGTACCCGCACTGAATTCATGTCATTGGGTGCTGGAAAGGTTCTGTAGTTTGGTCCAGACCTTCAGTTGTATCCTTCTACGGCGGTTTTTTGAAGCTTCCCTTTCAAATCAGCTGCCAACAAAAGGCTGGCTGCTGTTTCGCACCACTAGTCTGAAATTCTATCTCCCTTTTTTGTTCAGAAAAGGCCCCCAGGCGGTATCCCCAACTACCCCGATTCCTCCCTGAAAGCTCCGAGTCACCCCAAGGCTTCTTTGGGCAAAGACCCAATGCTTCTTGCTTCTTTGGGCAACGACCCCAAAGCTTTCAGCTGTTTGGGGGGGGGGTAAAGCTGCCTGCACCCTCAAATTCCCTCTACACATGGGTTACTGCCCCAACAAATTGGGGTGACTTCCTTTTTTTCCGGGTGGGTTGAGGGTCAAGGTGGTCTGGTCTGGTGACACACCCAAACAACACTCCGCCGAGTTCCTTTTGTTGTTTTCTTCGCAGGACGCGCGGCGGCTGCGGAAGGCGGCCAAGTCTGTGGCGCTGCACAACCTGCTGAATGAGGCCTGAGAGGGGCGGCGTGCTTCTGGATCTACGTAGTTTCTTCCCAGAATTACCCTCCCTCCCACTAACATGGCAACTGAGAGGGGGTCCTTTCAAAAAGATTAATCTTCCAGATACCTCCCCACAGCTGCCATGTTAGTTGGAGGAAGGGTAGTTTCCTTGTGCTTTTTTGGGGGTCCCCTTTGTTTTCCGCGAACCAGGCAAAAACTTTTTTTTCCCGGGGTCCTAGTTCCAGCCAAGGTTTGTAGCGAGCTCACGGCACAAAACGAGCAAAAGCCATGGCAAACGTCCGTTACTTGGGGATCCCTTCCATTCAAGTTTGGACTTGCATTTGATTATTTTTCCGGATGGAGGTGATGTTTGTCAGAGAGCCTCCAACTGGGTTTGTCTCTTTCTAGCAAAGAAAGAAACTTTGGATTGGTGTAAAGGAACATATAACAAGGGCCACCCCCCAGGAGCCCAAGACCCAATGTTTTTTTTTGAGGGTCGAAAAACCCCCAAAGGCCTCGAAAAATCAGGTCGTGGGCTCCTAGACACCCCCTATTTTGGGTCTACTGCTGTTGGGTTGGATCTTTAGACTTTAACTTTTTGGATTCCCCTTCTATGTCCCTTTAACCAGCAAAAAGTGAAACACTTTTTGCTGGGGGCTCCTACACCACCCAAGTTTGGGACCCCAAAAAACGCCTCCCCCCCCCCGAATCTTTCACCAGTTTGGGTCTACCCCAAAAAACGCAACCGCCTTCGCCACCCAAATGGGTCCACCGAAAACCCCCCCCTCCCCCCCAGCGAGCCGATGAATCGGAGGGGGTGGTCTCCAGCGCGGTGTGCCTCCTGGAGCTCTGCGGCCTGGAGACGGAGAAGCTCCGCGTGGACGTGGAGGCCGGGCCGGTGCTTCCATTTGGCTAAGAAGTTTTTTTTTTTTTTTTTTGTAAACACATATTTATTTATTTATTTATGTATGTATTTATTTATTAAAAAACAACTGTTGGTTTTAAAGGGAATCTGTCACTATTGGAAACATTTATATTTTTTCCCAGGGGACTTAAGCAAATGGAGGGGTGGGTCGAGCGTGCGGTGGGTGGAGCTGCTGGGACGCTGTAGGCTAGGTCCCCCAGCTAGGTGCCTTTTTTGGTTGGGAGGGTTCCCCTACTGGATAGACTACAGAAAAAAGGGTACCCTTATTCTAACCTCTCTAGTGCCCTTTGACCATTTTTTTGGGGGAGGTTCCCCTACTAAAATAGACTACCCTTATTCGAAGCTCTCTACTGGAGGACCCAGTAGGACTTGATGGCAAAGGAAGGGGCAGACCCGTTTTTGTGGCAGGTCTCAAGAGGAAGGTGTTTTTGTTGTTCTGCAGATTTTAAGAGGAAGGCGTTTTTGCTTTTCTGCAGTTCTCGAGAGGAGGGAGTTGTTGGAATTGTTTGTCCTCCGTTGATAAAGGAAGGTGATCGAATGGATTGATCGGGTTTGGAAAAGGAAACTTGGGGGGTAGGCCCAAGAATTTGGTTTTTGGTTCCTTGCTTGGACCTCCAGTGTTCGTTTTTTACCAGAGGGTGTCTTGGGCAGCTTGGGATTGATTTTGACCCCCTTTTTTGTGTCCAGTGGGACGTGTTTTTGTTGCACTTTGTTGGTTTTCCTCTTTACTACTTGCCTTCCCGAGTTTCGCAGTGGAGGTCCCTTTCAAATGAGCTCCTTTTTGAGTGGGCTCACTCGCCCAAAGAGGCTTCTATTTGTTCTACGAGGCTCACTCGGCAGCACCCAACAGGACCTTTGTTCCCAATTGCCTAAGGTCTGGGAAGCGGCTTTGTGAGAAAAGGTAGAGGTGTCCACCACTATGGCTCTTGTAGTTGTCAGTTGGCTGTGGGTCAAAACAATTCGTACTCGAAATGAAACCCTGGTAAATGGAAACGTGGACTAAAACCTGCGGTCCCCTGGTTTAATTTTGACCTATACCCAGTTGATTGCTAAGGGGGCAATCCTGTGAAGCAAACAGTCGCTTTCCTTTTGGCCTGCCTTCAGAACCAACATCCATTCAAAGGGAAACTAACAGGACATAAAAGGACACGGGGAAACAACCAAACAGGACAAAGGGAAGCTAGAAGGAAAAGGCAAGCCTAAAGGAAAGGGATAGGGGAACCATCAGGACACCGCCCATTACTTGGTATTTGGCTACGAACCCTGCTCAACAAGTTTGCTAAGTAAGACTTACCCTGCATGCAAACCACTAAAGGAATCACTTCTGCCTGGGGTAGGTGCCCCAGATTTTGCTGGGGTGCGTATCTCCCTTTTGAAAATTTGGTGTTTACACATCACCTGAGTCACAATCGCAACCTGGGTAATTGGAGGGTAGCAAGTAGCAAGGGGCAATCCCAGCCATAAATGGGTGCGGATTTTCGCCTTTTCAATTATTGAAGCATGGTTCTGGGGATCGACCATTTTAATACCGGGTTTTGATTGTGACCTACGTCTAAATAACATATATATATATATATATTTGCCCATTTGCTTGAGGAGCTCGCCTTGGACATAAATGAAACCCTCCCCTGCCTGTGACCTTATTGGGGCTCACGGGGAAGCTATTCTTGCTTGCATGACCATCCCGACTTGCTGGTGCTCAGTCGGGAATGTGGGAATGAACCCAGCAATTCCCTTAAACGAAACCACAACAAATGGTTTATAGGGGTCATTCCCTCAATCCCTACTGAGCATGCAAGTAGTAAGCAGGTAACTCCACAGAGTTTGCGTCCCATAAGTGGCATAAGTGGGGTGTGTGCAGATTTCACTTCCACCCTGAGGGTCATGACCCCTCCAATGCAGACCCCCGGACACTCCAATGGAGAACCCCGACCCCTCAAGGGCCCTCAACAACAACCCATTTGGAGGGCCCAAAAACAGTCGGGATGAATCAACACCAACCTGACGGACCCCAAAGTGCGTGGACCCAAATCAATCACGTGGTTCAGGGTTTCCTCTACATTCCTTTTTGGACTCCAAAAGTGGCGATCATTTTAATGGACATCACCCAAAAATTCATCAACTATTGGGGAACTCCGGTGACTCAGCCCTGTTTGGGAGGCCCAAACTTAAGCCTTGGATTTCCCTGAGTTGATGGTTCAAAAGAAGTCCAAACTCTTTCTTTGCCAAGAACTCAGGAAGTGAGCCCAAAACCCAAAACCGGTGACCTGGTGGTTTTTGGGAGGCCGCCGAAGAAAAAAAAACACCCGAAAAAAAAAAAAAAAAAACAGCTGATTTGGGAGCCCAAAACACACACACACACACACACATGCACACACACACACACACACACACACACACATCACACACACATACACACACACACACACACACATACACACACACACACACACACACACACACACACACACTACACACACACACACACATACACACACACCCACACACACACACACCCACACACACCACACACACACACACCCACACACTGCACCACACACTCACACACACACACACACACACACACACTATACACGACACACCACACACCACACACACACACACACCCCACACATACCACCCACACACTAATAGCACACACCACACACCCACACACCCACACACACACCCACACCCATGCCCCACACACCCACACCCACACACCCACACACCCACACCCACACACCCCGCATCACCACACACCCACACACCCACACACCCACACACACCTCACACCCACCATTCCCACCCCCACACCCACACACACCCCACACACCCACACACCCCCACACCCACACCCACCACACACACCCACACACCCACACACCCACACCCACACCACACACACACCCCACACACCCCACACACACACCACACCCCCACACCCCACACACCCCCACACCCCCACACCCCCACACCCCCACCCCACACCCCACACACCCCACACCCCCACACCCCCCACACCCCCACCCCCACACCCCCACACCCCCACACCCCCACTCCCCACCCCACCCCCACACCCCCACACCCCCACACCCCCACACACCCCACACCCCACACACACCCCACACCCCACACACACCCCCACACACACCCCCACACCCCCCCCACACCCACTCCGCACACCGCACACCCGCACCACACACACCAAGCACACACACACACCCGCACACCCGCACACTCCACACACTCCGCCACACTCCGCACGCGCACCCGCACTCCAGCACACTCACACCGACACCGCAACCGACACCACCCGCACACCCGCACACCCGCACACCCAGCACCCCGACCCGCACACCCGCACCACTCGCACTCGCACCTCGCACCCGCACACCCACATGCACACCCGCACCCGCTCCCGCATCCACGCACGCACCTCGCACCCGCACCCACCCGGCACGCACCACGCACCCGCACCCGCACCCGCACCCGCACCCACCGCACCCGCACCCACCCGCCCCCGCACCGCACCGCACCCCGCACCACACCCCCACCCGCGCACGCACCCACCCGCACTCCGCACCTGCACCCGCACCCGCACCCGCACCCGCACCCGCACGCACCCACCCACCCACCCACACACACACACACACAGCCCCAAGCTGAAGCAAACAAAAACAAACAAAAAAGCCAAGCGCTTTAGCTTTCCGAAGCCGCTTCCGACTCCGCTTCCGCGGCTTCCGAATCCGCTTCCGCTTTTGAGGCCGCGAAGCGGATCTACGCCCACACGGTGGGCCGAGGGCCCAAAGAGGGCCGCGCCAGCGCGGCCTCGGTGATCCAACTCTTCATGAGCTTCCCCGACACCGAGGACCCGGAAAAAAAAAGGAGAACCACAAAAAAACGGAGGAAAACACACACAACAAAAAACGCCCCAAAAGATCTGGCGGATAGGGACTGGGACTGGGGGAATGAATTTGGGGAATGCCCAAAACACCCAAAATGTCTTGCTGGCGCTCAGTAGGGAATCGGGAAATGAACCGGAAGGGAACTTCAAGGAAACCATAGGGGAATTTGTTTGGCAGGGATGACCCCAAGAAAAACCATCCCTTAAGCTGGTGGTGGTTTCCTTTATTTGGGAAACTCTGAGTTCATTCCCACATTCCCGACTGAGCACCATCAAGAATACGCCCAAAAGACCCCAAACGCTCAGGTAATTCTGGCCTCCCTCCAATAGACGATCGGAGTGAAAGACCAGAATTTGCTTTTGGAGGGGCTCCCCCGATCGTCCAATGCCATGATTGTTGGAAAGAGGGTATGTATTTTAGGTAAAACAGCCCTTTTGGTTGCTTTGAATGGGCAACCAAGAGGAGGACCACCAGCGACACCGATCTGTTGGTTGGTTTCAAGGGGTAAAATGGTCACGCGCTCGCAAGATTCCGAGCGCTGATTTGTTTCTAGGCTGAAGTATCGAAACGCTGGCTGGCGCAGTAGATTTTGATGGTTCTGTCAAGAAGAGTGGAAGCTCAAACGGCCCAGCTTCCGCTGACAGAAGCATCTACACATGCTCGCGGAGCCCCTCTTCTTTTTCGCCCTAGACATTGCTACATTTCAATACTGCTAGAGTTCTACATGCGTTGCATGTTTGCTAAACGCAGGCAGGCACGGTCTTTCCAGACTTGAAAGTCACGCGCTAGGGGGACTTCATCAAAAACGCACGCTCGCCGCGGCACTTTTCCAGAGAAAGCGTCTTCAGAATTACAACCACTTCGCCATCCAGGGACAGCCATGCTTTGATGGCACTAGTTTCTTCCATGTGCTTAAGAATATGTTTGACTGACTTCCCCTGTTGGTTTTATACGAAATCAATTTTTGGACATACTCTTATTTTTTCTTGGAGCTCTAAACGCAAATGGAGGGTTTCAACTCGCTGCAAGGGCATCCAAGGGCCAAGGTTGCGGGAGGCTTTGACGGGCGCACGCGCGCATGAGCTCCGCGAGCTTGGCTGTGGCTCAGCGTATTCTAACTCAGTTGTTCAAACCCGACCTTTTAACCTTTTGGTTTTCCTAGTTTGGTCTATTTTTAGTAAAGGTCATCTTTTGGTTTCTGAGTCCTTTGGGCAACTGAGCTAAACTTCTTGTGGAAAGTGTGTGCGTTTGAACTTGCTTCACGCGAACAAGGGGCATGCAGTCATTAGAAAGAGCGTCATGGAAGTGTTTGCGTGGCAGCAACATTGACTTAAAGCAACGATCGCAACTTGGCTATCTAGGTTCTTCCGCTAAGCCCAAAACCAACTTGTTGACCTTTTCTTTTTGTTTACCCTTGACCAACCAAAAAACCCTATTCCAACACAACCCAAAACCGGAACCCAAAGTGGGCGATGTTGTTGCGTTTTGCGTGGGCACGTGCGCGTGCGCGCGTGTGCGTTTGTGTACTCGTGCTTGAGCTGGCGGATCTTCACCGTGCATTTGCAAGCGCACATGCGTTTGCGCCGAACCTACAATGTTCCCCCCCCCCCACCCCAAGAAGACATTTTCATTTCCCCCCCCCACCCCCCACCCCCCATCCGCTGAACCCTTTTTGCGGAAAAGCCAGAAAGGACCACAACTTCTGTTCCGGATGTTTTTTTCAGACACCCAGTTGCCGCCCATAAAACCCTTGGCGCTCCAAGCGAGGCTGTTCAAAGGTAATCCTCCCATTCCTTACCTGGGCTTACGCAAGGAACCGGGCCCCTTTGTGGCTTTCCTGTAGGGTTTACGGAGGGTTGGCCAACCCAAACCATTTTGAACCGCCCAGCCCGGCCGCCTGGCCGCGCATGCGCACGCGCGTGTGCGCGTGTTGTGTGTGGCTCGCTCAGGACGCCTCCGCCAGCGCGGCCGCGGAGGCGGCGATCATTTCCCCGCATCTGCTGAATGCCCTGCGCATGCTCGAGGAGCCACTCGGACTCTCAGAGTCCGAGATCGAGCGTCGATTTTTTGGTTTTTCTTGGGGGTTTTAATGAGAAACCCAGAGGACAAGTTTTGGGTTGGTGGCCGACTTGTTTGGTGGTTTTTTAAGGGAAACCAGAGGAACACCGTTTTGGTCTGTTTTTTAGGGGTGTGGGGGGGGGGGGGGAGTTGATGAATTGGTACCCGACTTTTTTGGTGGGGTTTTAATGGGAAACCCAGAGGAAAACCGAGGCGTTTTTATGAGTTGGTACCCGACTTTTTTTGCGGTTGTTGGAGGGAAACCAGGAGGAGAACCGATTGGCTCGGTCATCAGTGTTTTTTAGTGGGTACCCGACTTTTTTTAGTCTTTGGTGGGTTTTGAATGGGAAACCCAGCGGAAAACCGAGGTCATTTTGGGGGAGGGTGGTTTTAGTTGTTACCCGACTTGTTTTGTGGTTGTTAGAGGGAAACCAGGAGGAAAACAAAATGGCTTGGTCATCTTTTTTTGTTGAGTTGGTATCCGACTTGTTTGGTTTTTGGTTGGGTTTTGAAGGGGAAACCCAGAGGAAACCCGAGGCTTCTTTGGGGGGGTCCGTTGCCTCGGTTGGTTTTCAAAGGAAACTCAGAGGAAGACTGTTTAGCATCGTTTGGCCATTGTGGGGGGAGGGGGGGTCCGTTTCAGCCCTGCAACCTGTTCTCCGGTGCCCAGGTTTGGCGCATGTACCTACGCCCGCAATCACCCGCCCACTTTTTGCAGATGATGTTGCACCTCTGAAGATAGAAAGATGTATCCCGCATCTACCATAGAAAACAAGGCCAGGAATTTCCAAAAAATACCCTAAACATGGTTGTTGTTGTGAAACATTTTACATTTTTGCTTATTGTGGTTTAGTGGGGAAATCCCCACTTAACTGCTAACAAACATATTTTTGCTCCCCTTCCAACGTCAACCAAATTTAAAAAAGCGTGCTTGAAGTCTGTCATGGGTTAACACACCGAGGTTGGGGCTTTTGCTCAGTTGGACTTTTTTGACGACTCACAAGGGTTTGGGTCGTCTGGGCGTCCCTTCGGGTCAATGTTCCCAAAGTTAGGTCAGAAGTCCCTTTCCCAGAGGCTCCAATTCGAGTGATGGGCCTTCAAACATGGTGAGACCGGGTCCCCACCCATTCCCGGGGTGAATGCTTCGGGGAGGGTCTTCCATTGAAAGCCAAAGCCGATCGGAGCCTTTGGGTTAGGCCAAACATTCCCGCTGGATCGGACTGTGGTGTGGAATTCTTCGGCTAAGGCACCCTCCTGGAGCAAGGTTTGTGCCAAAGACAAGGAGCTCCACTTTTTGAACAGGTTACCTGGTAATCATTGCATGATTCTGTTTCGGGTTGGTAAGCTTCATCAACTGGGTAGGTGTCAAAATAAGAGCCCTCAAAAAACAGCAAAGCTTGAAGCCGGCTATGAAACACCAACACGTTGCCATGGTTGAAATGGCTGTGGGTCAAAACCAATGGTACCATTTTGGGGTAGTGCACACCCATTTTAGTCTATTTCGGTGGGGATTGGGACGTCACTGCGGGTACGATTTGGCTTTTGACCCATGCCACTTGTCAAAAACCAGCTGTTTCCCCGTTCTGATGGTTTTCTGAAAGATCCGGATCCCTGGAAAGAATGGACATGGAAGTGTCCCCTAGAATTGGTCGAAATGATGTCACTGGGCGTTTTTGTTTGAGCCATTCGGTGCAGAAAGCTGCTGCACCTTGAGGTCGACCTGGGCTTTGGATCCACACCCTTCCGCACCCACAGCGTCCATCCAGGCGCTTTGAGATGGCAAGTTTGCGGTCTTGACTAGGTCCCCCAGAAGTGCCCTTTTATCCCTTTTGGGGGAGGGTTCCCCTACTAAAATAGACTACGGAAAAAAGTTGGTACCCTTATTCTAACCTCTCTACTGGAGGAGATAGTTGAGCCGAATGGCACCAACTTGATCGTTGGGGAATTTCATGATTGTGGCTTTAAGCTTTCTGGGGTTCTAAGGGCCCCTTGGGGCCTGTGACCTTGGAAGTCCTCTGAATTTCCGGCGGACGGGTGTTTCTCAAAATAGCGGTCCATTGTTTGGATGGTTTTAGTGGGGGGGAAAAAAAAAGAAAAAACACAAGCCACCTCGAGCGGTCCCGAATTTTGAGAACCACCCACCTAGGCCCGTTTCGACTGCTTAAAGAGGTTGTCAACGTCAGCCCGGGTCCAATCTCGGACGACTTTCAGAAAGCTTGAGTCCCGAAAATGCTGACTTGTATTGTTTACCTGTTGGTTTTCAAGGGTAAAGCTCACTGGATGTTCGAGCAAATGGGCAACGATTGTCTATTTATCAATACCATGACTGGGTCGTACTATAGGACTTACTGACTGGGGTTATCAACAACTCAATGCCTGGTGTGGTCATTCATGAAATTGACAATTCCAACTGGGGTCATTCCTTTTGCCAACATCTCACAATGGCGAGTCACATGGTGCCCAGTCCTTTGTTTGGAGAGGTTTCCCGTCTACCCAGACCAACATGGCAGCTCCCGAACGGACCCCTTTTGGACGACTTGGTTCCATCAGAGGCCTTCCGGAACCTTCCCATGTCGGTGGGAGGCATTGGCCGGGGGTTCGGGTTGACCATAGTCTGCTGAAGATATGGCGGTGGGTCAAAACCATCCCATTTTGGGGTAGGTAAATTCACCACCCAGCTAAGGACCTATTTTAGTGGTTGGATTGAATCGGTCCCGTTCACTGGGGGTACGGGCTTTGGCTTTTGACCCATGGCCCTATGGCTGTGGCTCAAAAAAACGGTACCCAAAATGGCTTGCCCTGGTAAGTGGACACATGGACTTCAAAACCCGCGGTTTGCCCCTCCGATCGTTTAATTTTGAGCCACACCCATATGGCGTGGCTTAAAAACCTACACCACCTAAGAAACCCTGGAATGATGATTCCCCTTGTAAATACCAAGAAACCATGGCTTCCTATGGTTCCAAGTGGTGCGGTGCATGGATTTCATCCACCGATGAGCCCATGAACCCACCCCACCCCTCCTCTCCTCGCCGCTCGTGACTCGTCAGGCGCTGGGCTACGACTTGCCTTGGCACCTCGTGGCGCTCTTCTGCCGCGTGCACTCCTTGCCGAGGCGGGGCGAGGACGCGCTCGAATCGACGCGCTCGGCTCGAAGCGTTTCGGTCCAAGCCGGAGGTCTCCCCAACAAATATTTGTCTTAGGCGGGAGGTTTCGTTCGGTGTTTTTTTTGTGTGTTTTGTGTTTGTTTTTGTTGTTTTTGCGGGCAGTGCTTCTGCTTGCTATAGTATGGGGGGCTTGCTCCTTTCCTTACTTGCTTAAACTGGGGTCTCCTCAATGTGTGTACTTTAGAGTAGCCCTCACGTGAAGTGACCACTGGCCTGACTCGGGTTGGAGAAGACAATTTTGGTAAATGGGGGTGATCAAAATGTCCGTGGAACATGAGATGACCAAGCAAACTAAACGAATATTTGACTTTCCGTACCAAACGAGAAAAGTTGCCCGTGGTCATTTCAGGGCCAGGAATATTGATCAACCTTCAAATGAGAAGTTTCAATCCACTCAGTCAGGGGAGGGAAACATGGTGAGCCCTGTTTGCAAACCCAAGCGCTCCATTCCAAGTGCTTCGAGGGAGTTTGGGTTGTTTGCGCCCTGTTGCTTCATAGAAGGCAAGACCTCCCCTGAAAAAGCGCTAAGCTTTGCTCAGTGGAACGATTCGTTTAGCCTCCCTCAACTAGCATATCCAGGAGGGGGAGTTCCCATTTTGCCAACCCTGGTTGGCGTTTCATGTTGTTAGCTGGTTTTCAGAGAAAAGCTAGCTTGTTGCGTGGGCAATGTAGGTATCAGCCTCACCATTTCGACCTTACCGATCCCTTGCCAATACCTGGAACCAGGTTGGTGGAGTCTTGCTAGATTCCCATGCCCGTATTTGAAGGTCTGAGTAGTTATCAATAATACTGATGATGGTTGCGAAATCCATTTCGCACCGTTCAGAAACCCTGGAAGTATGCGATTCCCCAGGAAAATACAAACAAACAATTGTTTGAACCATGGTTGCAAAGTGGTGAAGAGTTTCGTCCGTCCACAGTATTGTACAGACTCCAATCATGGCCAAATGAGGTTTTAAAATGCCCCAAGTGAATTCCGCATTTAGTTGTTATTAGTTGGCGTTTGTCTTCTTTTTCTCCGGGGTTTGTGGCAGTCCTCGTACTTCCAATTAAGGGAGGCCCACGGGGCGGTTTGAAGCATCAGCTTTTGGTTGCCAAGTTGAACCCCTGAGAGGAAATGGGCTTCCCAGCCCCACGCAAACACCTGGGCCCTAAAGCAAGCATAATACAAGTCCCTATTTGAGAGTTTCAAAGAAACCAAAACTCAGTCCAAGAACTCCTTGGCTGTAAACGCGGACACCAATCACCTCAACATGGTTGAGAACCTGAACTGTCCAGAGTCAGGAAATGACCCCAAGAACCATCCTTTGTACCCTCCCGTCCACGAACATGGGGTGGAGCAGCAGATTCGGGTCCAGTTCTGTTGGGGATGCCAGCTGTTTTTTGTGTTTTTTCCAGTTTGGGAACTGTAGTAAAAAGTGCCCGGGCAAAATGGGGGGGGAGTCCCTTATACTGTTTCCGTGAATTTCCTTGAAGGGTGGGTACTGAGAAATACAGGGACCCTGAAATGGGGGGGAGCACAAGCAAAAAGCTGACTTATGTCAACAACTTTCAGGTCTCTCACCTTGCTGCACGAGCTTGCGCGCAACAATGACTGGGTCATGTTCCTCTACGCAGCTCGGCAGAAAAGCTCTTGCGGCATACACCAAAATGCGCTTAGTTTCAACTCCTAGGCTTCTGGTTAAGTAAAAAGACTAAGCCTTGTTTGCATGTTTTCGGAGCCGTCGCGGTTTTGCTCATTTCGCTCGCAGCGTGGCAGGCATCAACATGCAAAGCTACTTCGTTCGGCTAACTGCGCAACAATTTCGCCAATGCTGCCAACAAAGCATTAGGCGAAGAAGTTCCCAAACTTTGTCTCCACAGGAATTGGTAAGTTTTTTGTTTCAAATGAACATGAACATCCAAATTGTTGTCACACCAACATTTGTGGTGGAGCTGCGGAGGCAAGAAAGCTTTCAATGACTGCGATTCACGATCAATCGGTTGAGTTCCATGAATCTTGGACAGCTTGGAGAAATCATCTACGCGTCTACATAGTTCTTTTCGTTACTGGCTCACCTGAAAGTTCTTCACTTTCAGGATGCGAGCTGCCTTTTGCCAACACAATGCACCATCAAAATACATCATTTGGACACGGTTGCGTTGAGTGAATAGGGGAAGAGTAGGACTTGAGAAGGAAAATGGCAAAAGCCGTGTTTGATACCAGGCGACCGTCGCAACAGTGATCAACTACTTCAGAGTTGCTAACTGCAAGCCTTAGTCTCCTGTTTGAGTTCTTGTTTATGGTAAGGAACCCTGCACAAACTGCTTCAGACCGCACGTGTTTGCTTGGTTCAGATTTCGAGAGGACTTTTTGGAATTGAAACATGTTCTGAGCTACTGCGGATGGTCAAAATCTACTTCGCTTGCGGTCTTTCCTTGTATTTCAATCAGCGAAAGCCATCGGAAGCTGAGCAGATTTCGTTGTGAAAGCCTCATTTGGGCGAGACATGAGGGTGTTTTGGTTCTCGGATCTGATAGACTCTGAAGAATCGGAAGGGGAGCACGGGCCAAATTGACGACATCAACGACTTGGGATTGTGGACTTTGGGACATCAACTTGGGATTCCAAGGCAAAAGGACTTCAATGACTTCACCTTGATGGGAACCCACTTGTTTCTTGGGCTTGTGGAACACCCCCTTGGGTTTGTTTCTTGGGGTCAACATCAACTCCCACTCCAAAATGGGCGGAACGGGGCTGGGCAGCTGGGCAGGTGCCTGGGCCGCGTCTGATTGGCGCATTGAAATTTGAACTAAATCTGCCCTTTCCCATTAGTAGGTGTTTCTGGTGTTTCAAGTTGCTTAGCTGCACACCGTCCATCTCAAACAAAGAGCCGGAAAATCCAGAGGTCGCTATGGTATTTCCCGTTTTTTGCTCTTAGCATCACCTTTCTGGCCAGCTTTAGATGATCTTCCTGTCGTGACGTTGCTGGTTTTTGGTTTTTTGTGTTCCGCTTCAAGTTGCTTGCTGCTTGCATGCTGTTCATGTCAAACAAAGAGCGTCCGAAAAAGAAAAAAAAAGAAGAAAAAAAAGAAAACACAAAAAAAAAGGCGCCTGCTTTCTCTTGGGCAGCTGCTCTCGTGTCGTCACCTGTTTCGGGGGTGCGACGACACCCATGAAGGTTGCTTTTACGATAGGGGTTCGCTGCCTTCGGTGAAAAATCGTTTGCCCAAAATAGGGGGTGCGATCAAAATAGGAATCGGTCCCCTGAAAGGGTGGTTCCGAATTGGACCATGCGTATAATGTAGTTCTAGTCGTGGCGAAGGGACCCAATTGGTTACACCAAAAATTCGTAAAATGGGTCTGTCTTCTTGCCATACCCCCAAACTGGCTTCGGTGTTCCTCCTGGTTTCCCTTTAAAACAACCAAAAAAGGCGGTACCCTCAAGAATGACAGCCAAATGGCAATGGCTGCTTGGTCTGAAATGGGTCCGTCATTTTTTAGGGAGTGCCCTCAAAAAACGGACACACCCAAATTTCAATTGGCTGCCAAAGATTAGGAGAGCGACCTGCAGCAGTGCCCTGCGGACACCGTGCTGGACATCGTGGGCGGCTACTTCACCGAGGTGCCGCTGCAGAGCTACTCGGCGGCTTGCGAGCGAATTCTCGGGCGAGGGTGCCCCACCCAAAGTTGGTACTTGGATGCTCGGCCAAGTTCGTAGGTGGTTAGCCACCTAAAACATAACCTACTTACGACCGGCACCAATGACTCAAAAGCAGGTTATATCCCAGGTGGCTCACCACTTTCTAACTTGGCGAATCGAGCATCCAAGTAGTTGTGCCATATATCTAAGTTTTCCCTTGAAACCAGACACAGACCCAGACCACCTTTTTTTGGCCTCCCGAAAGATCCCAAGAAGCTTTGGTGGACCCTGGGATTCAATCCATTGAAGCAACGGGGGCTCATATAGCCATCTCTGTTTACCTAAGGATTGTCATTCAAATGGGGTCCCCAGGCCTTTCTTTTAATGGGGGCAAGGAATTTTAGGGAATTCATGGTGCCCTACTTTGGATGGACAAAATCCTGCAACGCCTGAGAAACCCTGGTTTCGGAATGATTTCCATATAAATAGCAACAAACTAATGATTCCCCCCAGTTTCAAAGTGGTGCGAAATGGATGTTGTCCACCCACAGTATGAACCCTATGAAACCAGCTAGAACCACCTCGAATTTGCCCACTAGGTCCTCCAGATTTGAGATAGAATCAGTTGGTACCAACTTTTTTTTTTCTCGGGTCAACTTGGTTCTGTCGATTTTCGTGGGGTCCCGAAGCCTCCCTGAGGCCATTTGCAGATCCTGGCCAACTGCATCGCTGCCCAGGAGGCGATCTCACTGGCCCGCCGAGTTCGGATGTCTCCAGTCGAACGGCTGGAGGTGGCTCTTGGTGAACCAGCCATCCGGTTCCCTGCCCGTTTTAGCCTTTTAGTGTTTTTGTTGTTTTTTGATTTCAAAATCTTTAAGCCAGCAAAAGCGAGACATGTTCGTGTTTTTTTGGGAGGATGTCCATATTTAAGCCAGCAAAAGTGAGACATTTTCGTTTTTTTTGGGGGGGATTTCCATATTTAAACCACTAAAAGTGAAAATCTTTGAGCGGATCTGAGGACAGCCCAGTTCTGTGGTTCCCCCCTTCGGGTTCCCATTCCTCAGTTGTTCAGTTGCTCCAATTCTTTTTCCAACTTTTTCTTTGGTGGCTGCCCCACTAAAATGGTCCAAGCCCCAAAAAAGGGTTCCATTTTTTTCCAGGGTCACTTCAACTGAGATTCTTTCATTTTGTTTGGCACGTGTTTAGTCGGGATCCCGGACACCTCAGAGGAGGTTTGTCGCTCAATCGCCCTTCTGGTGGCTACCAAATCTCTTTGTGTGACAAAAATGGTCTTCAGGCGATCTGTAACCATCCAATCCAATAGGGCCCAATTTCAACATCCAAGGGTAGTGAGGTCAGTAAAGTTGTCTTTGTTTCCGGCACATTGTTGGGTTCACATCCATGGACGGGCCAAAATCAGCTCGAAGAGGCCCTGCGTTTATTTTGTGCAACCATTTTTAGTTTCTTTGAGCAGCAACTGTAGTTATGGGTGTACTTTCCCAGATTCTAGGGCACGCATTCGGCCCCGGCGCCTTCTTTCCCTCGAACTTTCGTGGCTGTACTTGTTGATGTCAAGATCCACTTAGATTCCAGAAACCGGTTCGGATGCGCTTGTCGCGGAGGTCACCTTTTTTTTCCCTGATCTGATTCGTTTTTAGAGCTCTTTTAGTACTCTTTCAATATCTTGCAGAGGTGGATCCACAGATTCGCCCCATCCAAATCGTTTTCTAGATAGGCTTTTGGATCGGCTTTCTGGAGTTTTGTATAAGCTTACAATTTCACATGTCAATGTGTTGAACTACACATATTATTCGCCAATAATTTCAATCCGACATGGCAGAAACAAGAACAACCATGTTATATGTTGCATAAGGTTGGAACCTCATATTGTCTGAAACAATATTATTTCCCAATAGATGAAACATATATGGCAGAAACAAGAACAACAAGGTTATATTTTGCATAAGGTTGGATTTTTCCGTGTGTGTGTGTGTGTTTAACAATCACAGATTATTCTCCAACAATTGCAAACTGATATTGTATGGCAGGAACAAGAACAGCAACGGTTATAAATACAAGGGACGTGCCAACTGACATCCCACCATTCTTGGATGACCAAACATGCTAGTCAGTGGTTACTAAGCAAGTCCCCGTAGGACTTACCCAACATACGACCCACTCAAGGGGCTTACAGTTGAGTGAAAGTAGATGTCACATTTCCATACAAGTTTTCCAGGTTCATTTCATCCGCCTTATAGACAACGGAAATTATGCCGTCTAGTTTCACCCTTGTGTATCAATTGGGCTCAGTAAGCCTATCTAGTAAGTGCCACTAGGCAGGGCTTACTCTGTATGCAACCGACTTGGCAACTCACCTACTCCCCTGCGGATTAGCATGGACACAACCAATCATGTTTATTCCGGAATTTCCTTGTGGGAATCAAACTCCGGTTTTAAGATTCCTTCTGTTAATTTGCAGGGGAGTATTCCAGGCAACTTCAAATTGGCGGACGTTGATGTGAAAGTCCCAAAAGGACAACATATACGTGTAGACAAACATACATACACATATTTAATATATGTATCCTATTCTGTTATATATCTATGTGTATATGTTCCGGCTTTTAGGCGCCTATGTATAGAGCCCTTTAGCTTTCGTGTGTCCCTTTTGCGAGCACCCGTTGTTTGAGTCGGACCTGGCGTTTTTGTTCGTTTGTTTTTTTTCTTTTTTCTTTTTTCTTGCGGGGCGCGTTTTGTGCACTTGAGGAGCCGGGGCGTGAAGAAGAGCGCGGAGAGCGCGCCAAGCGCATGGCACGCACGCAGGACCTGAAGAATCGATGGGCGCAAAAGGGTGGATCCGGTGTCGGGTGCTTTGTTGTTTTGTTTTGTTTTTGGTTTTGTGTTTTGTGTTTTGTGTTTTGTGTTTTGTGTGTTGTGTGTTGTGTGTTGTGTTTTGTGTGTTGTGTGTTGTGTTTTGTGTTTTGTGTTTTGTGTTTTGTGTTGTGTGTTGTGTGTTTTGTGTTTTGTGTTTTGTGTTTTGTGTTTTGTGTTTTGTGCATTGTGCTTTGTGTGTTGTGTTGTGTGTTTTGTGTTTTGTGTTTTGTGTTCTGTGTTTTGTGTTTTGTGTGTGTGTTTGTGTTTGTGTTTGTGTTTGTATTTGTGTGTGTGTGTTTTTTCTGTGTGTGTGTGTTTTGTTTGACTTTTTGGGGATTTTGTTTTTTGAAGATTTTGTCTTTTTGGGGGATTTGGACATTTTTGAGTTTTTGTTTGATTTTGGGGATGTTGGGGGCTTTGGGGGCTTGGGGGTTTTGGGGTTGCTGGCGCATGGCCCACAAGGCATGTTCATCCCCAAAAGGAAGCCAAACGCCGGCCAACGCGCCCCGAACGACTGCTTTTTGAACAGTACTTCGGGTTTTGAACATGGGAACACCTGTGGTAAAGGGGGTGCTGGGATGGACATGTTCTATTCCAGAGCTTCTTTTTCGCAGCTAAGTGGCTTGCCAAAGAGGCCAACTGGAGCGAAGACATGGCTTCGATGAGTCGACCCTCCTGGCGAGGAAGTGGAGGCTTCGGATGCCATGGGTTTCCTGCAACGGGGCTGCTCCGGCTGGGGTGTCTTGGCGATCCAGATCCAACCCGTGGAACAGGGAACCAAGGGAACCACCCTTTAAGAACACTCAGTTGTTCAGTGGCACCAATTATTTTTCCCCTTTTTTTTTTGGGGGGGGGGGCTGCCCCACTAAAAATGCTTTTCCCCAAAAAGGGTTCCCTTTTTTTCCCAGGGTCACTGAACAACTGAGAAAAAAAAGAAGCAAATATCCAGTTACTTACTATACTGGTAACTGGGATGCACTGGGGTAGACTCAATTTGGGTATGTTTGAAAATAGGAATCGTGCCCCAAGAAAAATCTGGGTTTTTTTCCTCTCTGGGTAGTGTTTGCACCATAGTTTCATCAACCAACCAGTTTCATAGGGGGGTGCTTTTCCCTGGGTGAGTGAGAATCAGACCACTTTTGGAGGGAAACACCCCCCGAATTAGTAAATTGGGACTGATTAATATGGGGTCAATATTAGGGTGGACTCAATTCGGGTACGTGTCAAAATAGGAATCGGACCCCAACTAAGGTTTTCCTCTTGGTGTGCCCTTAAAGCCAAGCAAAAAGGTGTACCCAACAAAAAGACAGACTTATATCGGAGTAGAGTTTATCATGGGTCTCGGACCTTTGGTGGACATCAAATTCCGGGTAAGTCTGTCCACTGACCACTTTTGAGGGAGTTTCCCTATTTAAAGTTCATGGCCATATGAAAGAGAATCTGAACATGACAATTCCTGTGCAGTGATTAGATTTCCCCCCAGCCACTCACGGAAGAGGGGTATATTCGCCCATCAATCCCTGGAAAGTAGTGGACACCATCTTAGACAATAGGATTTATTGAGGGCTTCCCGATTTTGGAGCGCGCGGTGGTGCGGGGAACTTGGCGTGGTTTTCCCCCAAGCCCTGCAACAAGGTAATATAAAGGGCCAAACTAATCTTTGGTGCATGTTGCTTGGACGTTAGGACTTTAACTTTTTGCCAGCTAATGGGTTTTGCGTTAAACCACTCAAAGTTAAACTTTTAGCAGGGGAACAGAAAGCAACCGAGCCCTCACCGGCATCCAACACTTGTCCAAGACACGTGTACATGAATGGTCAAAATGACTTGCGTTTGTAACCCAAACCCATGGGTGCAAACCATATTCTCAACTTTGTTTGGATAGGGTGGGCCGCTTTAAAGGACGTGTCCTGGAAGACCGTGCTGCTTTTAAAGCAACCCCCTGTCAGGTTCCATGTTGATTGCTGGAGAGTAAATCAACTAGAAAAAAACGAGCTTCCATTCCCTTATAATAATATATTGTTCTCCCTTGCTGGTTGTAAAGGGAATCTATCACTACCGGACATGTTGAAATATGTTTTTCCAGGGGGCGCTTAGGCGAAAAGGGAAGTTATTTGGGTTTATTTTGGTTCGTTTCGGGTAGTTTCCCTAGGGTGTAATCCCAGATTTTAATAGGAAGTCAATAGACTTAAGCAAAGGGGAGAAGACTTGACTGCTATTGGGTTGGATCTTTAGACTTTAACTTTTTTGGAAATCAAGGGGCTTTCCACTAAACTCCCAAAGAGTGAAGCTAAGCTTTTTTGCGGGGGGTCAACAGCAACCAAGAAGATGAGTGCCCAGCTGTTGTCCCCGCGGAATTGGCCTGGGGCGCTCGAAGGGCTTTTGGGCAGCCGAGGTTTGCTGCAGCAGGCGCTGCGACGCGCGCAGCCGCGCCTGGCTGTGGTGGCGTCTGCCTTCCAGGAGCTGCGGGGTGGGGGGGGGGGGGAGGGGAGGGGAGGGGAGGGGAGGGAAGGAGGGGAAGGGGAGGGGAGGGGAGGGGAGGGGAGGGAGAGAGGGAGAAAGAGAGAAAGAGAGACAGAGTGTAGTGATTTGATTCTACATTCCCACATTTCCCCTTGGGTTGGTTTCAACATCACCTTGCTGGCCAGCCTAAAGCGGGCTCCTTTTTGGGGTGATGTTGCATGGTGGCTTTCCTTTTGGCTTTCCATTGGAAAGCCTTCTGAGAAGCATAACCTGGAGAAGCAACTATCTTTTTTCGGAATCCTGGGCGAGAGGTTTATTCCAACAAAGCCTCCTTATTTTCGCTAGTCTTTGGTGTGACTGAATCGCCCTGGAGAGCTTTTGAATGGCTTTTCCAATAAACCTACAAATGGTGATCGACCTTTTGCTCAGGTAGGTATTGAACCAACCCAGTCTTATTCTTGAACTGTTTCTCACATGTTGTTATCGCGTGCCACGTTTCCACTTGTTCATGCTTCTTGCATTCGTTCTCGCTTTGTTGCTTCTTCTTTGTACATGTTGCACACTTTCCACTTTCCACTGTTTCATTGTTTGCATGGCTTTCACGCTTTTCACGTTTTCCACTCTTCCCACTCTTGCTCCTTTGTTCGAATGTTCACATAGATCACTTCTCGTTTACTAATTTATTGCATCTTTCTTCAATTTGTTCACGCTTACCGCTTTGGCTTTTTTTCCACTTGTTCACTCACGTCGCGCCGTTTCATGGCGTCGTTCACGGCCCCTGTTTGCCCCTAGCCTTGAGAAGTTCAAAGCGCAGGCCGTTGAATGATGTCGAACATTTTCGGAGCCGGATGGTCGAAAGGCGGAGCAGAGCTCAGCGCCGTTCAGCGTGATTTGTGTGGGGCAGGAAACAACGCGCGCAGAGTTCATGTTAGATGGCAAAGCTTGACAGGTCTTGCGTCGCGGTGCTCGCAGGCATGACTTCAGCTTGCAAGACACGCGTAACATGTACTTGGAAAGTGTGTTTGTCGTCGGAGCTCGGGAGCTGGAGACTGCCGCGGGGGTCGGATGGGATCTGTATTGCGGAGTGTGTTGTTTTGGTTGTTTTGTCACTGCAGTCGCAAAATATGGGTGTGCTTTTTAAGGCCCCCCCACACATGGTGGTGTTCCTTCGGTTCGCCTCTAAGTTGCACAGGTTGTTTTTTTCCGCAGCAAAAGACAGACACACCTATATAAAAATATACATGTTTTCAGAGACGTTGAACCTGTGTGAAAATTTAGGAAAAAACACCTCTCAGTCGGCGTTTTTTTTTCCTCCGCGAAGCCCCGAAACAGTCGCGGCGAGGACGTGAGCCTCTTGCAATGCGCGGGACCCGAGCTTTGTGGACTCGATGAACCTTCGGACCGTCGCAGGCCATGGGACGCGAGGTTTTTTTTGTTTGTGTTTTTTTTTTTTTGGGGGGGGGGTGTTTTTTTTTTTTTTTTTTTTTTTTTTTTTCCGGCCATGGTCGAAGTTTGGCACGAAAAAGGTCGAAACCCACATTTTGTACCCTCCCACTAACATGGCGCCTGACAGAGGCTCCCTTGAGGAAATTTATCTTCCAGGTACCCTCTCACAGGAGCTATGTTAATGGGAGGAAGGGTAAGCTGTTTGTTCTGCGCATGCAGGGCACGAAAGAGTCGGGCCCCATGACGAGCCTTCACTTGCCTAAGGACAAGTTGGTGTTTCTTTGCAGCGACTTGCCGAGTCAAAGAACAAGGCGATCGAGTTGAAGTGTCAGGGTCCTGAACTTGGCGATTTCCACCCTATGGACTCTGCTTGTCTGAAGGTCACTCATCCAGCACATTAATTCTGCCCTTCAGAAAATCAAGGAAGCAGGATTTGAACCCGGAATGCAGTGCCAAGGATTAGGTCATTCCCCATTCTTAAACTCGCGGTGAGTTGGATCATTTGTGGCTAGTTGGCCCTTCATTAGTTATGTATTTTCTTGTTGACTGATGCGTTTTCTGGCCAAAGCAGGGAACCCCAAAAATGGTTGGTGTCCCCTCGGTTTCCTTGACCACCCAAAAAGGCCACCCTCAAAAAGAGACACTCATGCAGGCTTCTCCTCCCGAGGCATGGCGGTTTGGCTGACAGTCCATGCAGAGAGAAGTGAGGAGGCGGGCGTGCGGGGTAAATCTGGCAGACTCCGTGTGGGTTTGGGAAACCGAACGGAAACCGTTTGGGGGTTGAACCACACCGAAATCAACCATGGGTGGCCCCCATGGTTTATTGATCGGCCCGTGTGTGGGAGCATGCCCAAATCGCGAGGATCCCGCAAAATGGTGAGTTTTCTTGTGGTTTCCCTTTAAACCGAGGTGAAAGCGGCACCCTCAAAACAAGACCTGCCCACTGTGCCATCAAGACTTATGTTACTTGGGAGATGCTGGTAGCACCTTGACCAGCGCAGCGGTTCCGAAGCGGGAACCCAGATGGGGAGTGATCATTTTCCATCTGCTTAAAGGAGATCTTTGTGTTTCCTCGCTTGGTTTTGAAAGGAAGCCGCTACTGGAAATATGGGGGGTCTCTCAAAATACTGGCCCCTAAAATCTAAAACGGCCAGTTTCCTTTTGGTTCCCCATTTTTTGCAACCCAAAGGGGGTACACCATTTGCTCCAGACATATTCGAAGTAAGTCAAGTGGAAATCTTCCCGATGCCACGCGTGGGGGATGCATATGGGTGCCCCCCCCCAACAAAAAAAGAGTTGTGTTCCTTGTGCTTTCGGTTTACCACCGAAAAAGGGGGTACCCTCAACACAAAGGTGAGCCACCCACCAAGATACCATGAAACCACGGGGGCTCAGTTCTTTCTAGATCCGCATAAACACTGCGAAGGATACCCTTCAAGCGATTTATCCCCACTGCAAATGAACATGGCTGTGGGTCAACACCAATGGTACCATGTTGGGGTAGGTACACCACCCATTTTAGTCTATTTTAGTGGGGATTGGGATGTTCACTGGGGGACGGGCTTTTGACCCATGGCCATATCAATCTGCTTTTTGTTGACAAGTCACCTATGCCCAACGTATGTCCAGCGAACTCCTGGGGGCAACTGCGCGCCCGTCCTGGCTTGCTCTACTGGATATTCAGCCAACTCAGGTGGCAGACATGGTCGCCATACTGTGGATGGACGAAATCCTGCACCACCTAAGAAACCCTGGAAGGATGATTGCCCTGAGAATACCAACAAACAAATGGCTTCGTGATTTCCAGGATAGGAGTCTCTGGCCCCTTCGTGACAGTCTTTGGAGCGGTGTCGGATGCGTGCCAGCCGTTTGCGGCGGATGCCTTGCTGATCATGGCTTGAAAGCCGTTTATCTTTGCGACCCGGCCAGTCAGACGTTTTAGTGAGGGCTCCGGCTTGTGGTGACTGCCAAGCTTTTGCGCAGGTGCGGCGCGACAGATCGGAATGCTCGGCCCTGACGGCTATGCCATATACGCCGGGCAGCCGCAGCTTTTCCTGGAAACCATGAAGCCCCATCCCTCCCTGCGCATTGCCTTCAGATCCTTTGCTGCAGTAGCAAGCGTGGCTTGGGACTTCTTGGAGCAAAGCTCCTGCGGATCAAGGTCAATGCCCAGTCCGGCTGCCGGTGGCTTCGTTCCAAGCCGCGACGGCGCACAATCTGTCACGAGGACCTGGACTTCGTTTGTGGCCCGAGTGCGAAAGCCAACCCAGGTATCTGCTTGACCGCCGCCGACTCCTTGCAGCTGCGCCAGGCTTTTCCTTTCAGCGACCCCGCCAGAGTGTGTGTGTGTGTGTGTTTTTGTTGTTCCTTTTATTTTTTCCTTTTTTTCCTTTTTTTTTTGGGGGGGGGGGTGCTGTCTTGTGTTTGTTGGCTTTCGGTGGGTCTATTTTCCAGTGGGGCTTCATCCATGGCGCTCAGCTTTCCGCGGTCCCGCGGGCGCGCGTCGGTCGCGTGCCCCGCCGAGCTCCGCGAAGTGGGCGGTCCGTGGCATCCGCACGCCATCCACGCAGGGGGCTTCGTCAAAAGGGCGGAAAGGATGGAGTCAGCTGCAGCGCTGCAGGTTTTTTTCGTTTTTCTCATTTTATTTTTTCCGGCCAAAGGGCGCAATGGCTGTAGTCAGGAACCTGGTCTTGAACTGCCCCCAGTCGCCCGTCAGGGTGTAGCTGACAGGCCGCTGCAAGTGCCGCCGTCAGTTTCGTGGTTGCCCTGACCCGATCTTTTCGCTCTTTGTCAAGTCGGCTTGTCAGCCAAGGGTGTCCTTGGAAGTGTGTGCAATTTCGGTGACGTTCTCAGTGAGAAGTCGTTTAACTTCCAAGCTACGTTGTACGAAACTACCCGCCACCAAACCAAGGTTTCTGAACGCTGGTGCATTGAATGGATTTCGCACATGGGGTCGGCATTTTGTGTAGGCTTGCAAAAAGAAGAATCCCATTAATGGCCCTTCTGTGTAGCCTTGTTTGGAGAAAATGGGCCAACTACTATCTACTGTGTGAGAGACACCCCATAGTCGCCCGAGTAACTTGACAGGTCGCTTCCCAGCCGCCGGCGCCCAACCCTGCAGAGGCGCGCCAAGGGCTGCAGACTTGTCTGGTCATCTGCGCTGGGGTTTGGACGCACATGGCTGTGGCTCAAAAAACCGGAATTCCAAAATGGGTTGCCCTGGTAAGTGGAAACATGGACCAAAACCTGCGGTTTGCCCCTCCTGTTTCATTGTAAGCCACACCCACATGTGGTTGTGGCTCAAAATTAAAGAGCTAGGGCAAACCGCAGGTTTTAGTCTTGGTTCCGTTTACCAAGGTGCCATGTTGGTACATGTTGTTGAGCCACAGCCATGTGGGTCTGTCCTCTCTCTTTTTTTCGGGGCACCCCCGAAAATGGCTTCGGTGTTCCTTTGCTTTCCCTTTCAACCCACGGAAAACGCCCAAGAAAAACGAGGCAATCATGGTGCAAAGGTGCCTAGGGTAGGCAACTTGGCTTGCTAATCCTCAGCTCCAAGCCTTGGGAACACAAAATCCGCTTCGCACGAGTTGGTGGATGGTGTCTCACTCGCTGACTTGCTGGACTTTAACATGTTTTTGGGTTGGACCATTTTGGTATAAAATACAAAGTTCTGACTTTTTGTCGGCTCATCCACTCAAGAAGTGAGGTTTACCCCATTTATGGGGTGGTATCCATGCCAACTGGTGCGAAGCGGATGTTGTCCATCCACAGTCTCCCAGTGAGGGGTTTGAAAGATCCGGACAACACACCCCGTCGCGCAAAACGGGCGTGATCGGCTTCGCACTGCGTGAGCGCGCATTTGGGATATCACATTCAGAAAAGCTCATACTGTGGATGGTTGCGAAATCCATGCAACGCACCACCTAAGAAACTCTGGAAGGAGGATTTCCCTGCAAAATACCAAGAAACAATGGTTTCCCATGGTTATAAAGTGGTGCAGGATTTTGTCCATCCACAGTATGGCAGGTTGGAGTTGTTGATACAAGGTCTCGTTCTGTTTGTCCTCAGTGTTTGTGTTGTTTTTGTGTCTTGTGGCTGTGAGCCAGAATAGGTACCCAAGATGCCCAATGACTAAAACCTGCGGTCCCCTTGTGGGTTAGTTTTGACACATACCCTCGCTGGTTTTGCCGGAAGCCCCTGGCGCTTTTTGACCAGACAGGTTGCTGCCCAGATCGCCAGCCTCTGCCGCAAGCGCCCGGGCCCTGAACCCGTTGCGTCAGCTTCTGTCGACGGTTGCCCACCAATTCTCACTCCGTCAGTCCGAAACTCGGACTTGATCGCCACTCTTTGGGTTTAAAGACTAGCTCCCCCAGTAGTGCCCTTTTACAGCTTTTTTGGGGGAGGGCTCCTCTACCAAAATAGACTACAGAAAAAAGGTTACCCTTATTCTAACCTCTCTACTGGAGGACCTAGAAGATTCTCATGGAAAACAATCAGTTTGGTTATTTTGTTTGGCAAAAAATCACTCAGGACATGAGTGTGATTTTTTCAAAGGGACCCCCATTTTGGTTGGTACGAAAGGGAAGCCAAAGGGAAACCGTCGCCATTTGACCCTCGAGCGTAGAGGGTGGAAAGCTACTTGTCCTCCAACACGGTTGGGCATAAACTCCTATGGAAACTACTTTCTTGTTGGAAGGGAGCCTGCGCACTTCGATGTTGGTGAGGGGGTAAGCTCACTCTTGAGGTGTTCTTGAGTTTAGCTCTTGAATTTTGAAAGTCTGCCTAGGTGTGCCTTTTGGTCGATGTGGTCACCCAGTCAATCTATCACGTGGTTACCTTCTCCTGGCATGTGGTCTTGTTTCTTTGTGGTTCTATCCATTGTTCATGGGATTTGGTGAGTGCAGCGACAAGAACACTTTTTTGGGCTACCATATTCCTCAGGGTTGGGAAGTTATGGGGAATTTTCAACTCGCCAAACCAAACGCAGCAGCCGAATGAAACCACCCGGACACGACGCTGAGACCCGAGCCATATGCAGTTGCGAAGGCCGGCTGGCCATTGAAACCGCTTTGACCTGAAATACTGTGGATGGTTGCGAAATCCATCCAACGCACCACCGTTCTGAAACCCTGGTTTCGGAGCCCTGTAAATACCAAGAAACTGGATTCAACCATGGTTTCAAAGTGGTGCGAAATGGATTTTGTCCATCCACAGAAGGGAGCCTCGTCTCTGATACCTGAGTTTGATTTCCGCCTGTGTGATTTCAATGGAACCTTCCTTGGCACAGGAAAGGCGGCTGACGCCGAATTTCCCGCATTCGCTGAACCTCATTTTGCCCTTGCGCAAAAGCTGTGAGCGTATCTCCAGGCGAGTGCTTGGCAATGTCTTTCCAAGGAAACCACTCGCTGTGTGCTTAGTCCTCCTTCGTTGGCGCAAGTCAAAGCCACCCGGGAAAGTTCGTCATTCACCGTCAGCTTGCGAAACACCTGGCCAGTATCCGCAAACTAAATCAATGAAAGCCATAGAGATAAATGTGTATGGGGCATGACGTCCTGCACAGCACCAGAGTTGCAAGGCGGCAATGCATCTCCGTGGAGACACAAACCCACAGGATGTTCAGTAGCATACCCTTGGCCAAACGTGAGGCTGACAGAAATCGAATCCTTTCCAGCCAGGAGCCGGACCAAGTCGTTTGGGGTTCTGAGCAAGTGCTTAAAAGTTAAGCCCTGCGTGATTGGCCTTGGTGCGATTCTGGAACCAAACCATTTCGCTTCGCACCTGGTGACCTGGTGGGGTGTCATCCATTGGTCCATTTATTGGAGGGGCGAAGTGGTCAATAGCAGCATGGTTGTTATTGTGAAACATTTTACATGTTTGCTTATTGTGGTTTAGTGGGAAATCCCCACTTAACTGCTATTTTTTTACATTTTTGCTCCCCTTCCAACGTCAACCAAGGCAGGGGGGAGTTGCGACACGTTGACATGTTCAACCTCACGAGGAGAACCCGGCAATTGGTGCTAGCTGGAGTTTTTGTCCAGCTCTCCGAGCAAAAAAATCATCGAGACCTCACATTCGCGGCAACGCCTTTCCCGGTGCACCAGTTGGTCCAAAGAACCGGGAGGCAAGCAAGTGCCAAAGCACTTTTATGGCCCCAGGTACTGTTGTTGCGGAATCCGGCACCACGAAATGAAACCAATTTGAATGAAGCCTGAAATGCTTGGCATCTCTGAGGTGCAGAGTTTCGTCCCGCAGTAAGTTTGGTTTCTACCGTTACTTCTTCCGTGGGTCCTTGCTTGTCTCTTGATTTTCCGGCTCACCCTCCCTCTTGAATCGGGAAGGTTTCTACCCTTGCACCGGAGGGGTCAGCCTCGCCTCCGAGTACTTTGGGGAGGTTCTTGGCATTGACATCTCGTAGGAAGTAACAGACTTGGACTCCTCAAGTGTTAAGACATCGCAGACACGTGACCTTGCTCTCCGCTTGGCAAGGAGTTCCATACATATCACCTTTGACCACGCTGGGCAATTGGGTTGTGGGTACATCACGCACATCAAAACGTTCACTGGGATCCCCAAACTGTCGATGGCCGAGGCCACGCTTTCTCTCTTGTGCTGCGAGCTCTGAAGGCACGGACAAGTGACAAGGCTTGGTTCCCAAGTAATTATGGGTGTGTCTTAAAATTAGGGACCCCAAAATTGGTTTCGGTCTCTCCTATGGTCTCCCTTCGAAGCAACTTTCAAGAGGGTACCATCTCGACAAATACACAGACGCATATATGGTTCCAGTGTTGAAGCTGGACTTGCTTGTGTTGATTGCAGGAAGCACTCATATTAGAGGCAAGGTACACCCCGATTCAGCTGTCGGGATTGGTGGTTTGGCCTTGTCCAACATGGCTGGTAGTTTCCTAAGTTGTTGGATTCGAATGACGGTTTCATCCAGAAAGCGTGTTTTTTCAACGAAGCAGGCATTCTGAAGCATTGTTTCTTAGCAAACAAAATATTTCAATTGCCTGTTGAAACCGATTCGGGCCAAGCGTCGGATCAGACAACTGCAGAGCTGCAACTGCTTTCTTGAGCCTTGCAGATGCTTCCGTTGGCTTGGGGCTTCCCAAGAAGAATCATCGTTTTCAACCCCGCCCCCCTTTGAACCACCCCCCCCCACCCCCTCCAAAGCAAGGTGGGGACTTGTTATGGCTTAATAAGAGGGTATGCCTCTTTGGGTAAGATAGAGGGACCTTCTGATGGATGTTTTCTATCAGGTCCTTTTCTCCATCTCCTCCCCTGCGCAAAACAATTCACGAGCTCACATTGGGGCACACCAAGCTCACCTCGATATTCCGCAAGTTGCCGGAGACTTGCAAATACTTCACTGGTCTTTGCAAGTGTGGTTCTTTAGTTGGCTCTGTTTCTTTTACCAAGGTTCGGGAAGTGGGCAGAGCATTGGACAGGTTTCCTCCAAGTCCCTGTTTGGAACCTCCAAAAGGGCGATAAACATGAAAATACAAGTAAACAATGCAACTTGTCCTGTTTTGGAACCTAAAGGGGCAATGCGCATGAACAGAACAAACAAAAGAGGTTTCCTCTATGCCCGTTTTAGAAGCTAAAGGGGCAATGCGCATGAACAGAACAAGTGCAAGCCGCAACTGAACCCATCCACCCTTACACCGCAGATCTTCGATCCGGAGAACCCGCTCATCGACTTTGTGTGCTTCCATCGCGCCTTTGTGCGCAGGGCTCAGTGGAGTTCAGATCCGATCTGGCGATGTGTGCGGCTCCTTCCGTTTAAAGGCTGGTTGGGCGCGTGAAGGAAAGCAACCCAGAGGCCCGCTTCCATTCACAACCGTTTTATGAAGGAAAAAAAACGCTGCGCCAGGTTTCGCGCAATTTTCAACCACAAAACACTCAACTCCCGCCCCGCTTAGATGTAGAGTTTGCAACATCCTCCCGACGACCCGGCTAAAGGCTAAGTGTGGGGAAGATGTGGCACGTGCGGAACCCACTTAGCCATATTTCAGCTTCTCAGCGCACTTAAGAAGTAGGCCCCCTCAACCCGCGTCCGCATGCGTGTTGTTTTTTGGGGGGGCTGAACGACTTTGCGGAAATAGCCAAACATCGGCTTACAAGGGCTGCAATGAGATCGAGTTGTAAGAGAAAGTGAAGCCAAGGGTGCCACATTGCCCTGGAGAGGGTTGGTTGCTTTAAAGCTGTGACATGCCAAGCATTCCAACATTCTTTTCATGTCCACTGCCAACCAGTGGAAACTAGCTGTTGTCCAGCCAGCATCTACTCTTATATAACATTCCACCTCGCAACCCGTTTTTTCCTCACAACCTTGTCGCTCATTCCATTGGTCCAAGTGCGAGGAATTCCGCGTGGATGTTTGCCCCTGAAGCCTTCCATGATTTGTTCAAATCATCAGTTTTGGGGGACTTTCAAAAAGGTTGGTTTCCTGGTTGCTCATTGGTTTCCTACTAAAACCAACCAAATTCGGGGGTTGCCCCAAAAGCAGAGACACCTCTATGCTCAGTTGTGGGCCAGCGATGGAGAGCCCACGTACAGCCTCACGACTATGTCCGTTACTGCATTGAATTGGCATTTGTGCAGTGACGCACCGGAACACCCTGAAAGATTTCTTAGTGTCATGTAGGTGCTTTTTCAGAAATAGCTCGAAAGTGTGCTAGTTTCTTTGACATGGAAAGCAGGGGAATTGCTTCAGTCATGTACAAAGGAGTCTCCAATACTCGTAACAAGATGGAACATGTTCAGGGTGGCTTCCATTTTCATGAAAGGAAATACAAGGTATCCAAGCGAGTAACTCACTTGGCCTTGCTTTGGCCTTCAGAAGAGCGACCCTTTTCCCACGAATGGGCCAAACGTACGTTTCGCAGCACCGGGTTTTGTCCAAGCCAGATGTTTGCCGACCTCAATTTCGCTTTTCGCTTTGCCACACAACGTCCGTCGGGCCCCTTTTGGAAGCTCAACGAGAGCAACCTGCCCAAAGACCCGCAGGTTTCCTCCAAGAACCCCACCCAGTCCCACCCAACCCCCAATCCAACTCCCAAAACCCAGCCCCAACCCCAAACCCTAACCCCCAAACCTCCAACCCCAACCCCACAACCCCCAACCCTAACCACAAACCCAAACCCACCCCACCCAATCCCACCCAACCCCACCCAACCCCAATCCAATCCCAAATCCAACCCCCAACCCGAACCCACAGCCCCACAACCAGCCCCAATCCAACAAAAGCCCGAACCCCAAACTCACCAACCCCACCCAACCCCACCCAACCCCAACAACCCGAACCCAACAGCAGCAAGAAAATAAGAAGAACAAGGCCGACCGGAAGACCACCAAGCCAGAGGCAATGAAAGGAAGCAAGGCTGGGTCCCGGTTTGAAGCACTGTTTGTCTTTTTCAGCTTTCACAGGCAGATTGCGTCTTTTGATCTCCATTCAACAACCATCATTTGGAGCACTGTTTGTTTTTCCAGTGGCAAGTTCGGCTCATCCTTTTGATGTCCATCCAATCACCAGTCATTTGAAGCACTTGTCCTCTTTTCAGCCGAAACTTCTTCGCGGTTTGGGACGGTATGAAAATGGAGCCACAGCAAAAGACAACGAGCGCCCACGGAAACCAACAAAGCAGGAGGAGATCTCCATGGAATCACAAGACAAGCAAAGGGACAACGGGAGAGAAGCGGCCCCGAACCCGTCCAAACATAACCAGCGCCCCATCCCAGCAGACAATCCCCAAACTCGTCGAAGGTTTCGAAGGCTTCTCATCATCGGCCCCGTTTTCCATCACCGGTGATGCTTTGCTTATCAAGACTTTCAATTCAGACCCGCACACCCAGGTTCAGCGCTTCGCACTAGTTGTCACGATTATGCAAGGCTCCAGCGCCCGCAAAACAAAAGGCTGCAGTGATTGGCCTCCTGGCTGGCGAGCGCTTCGCGGAACAGCCCAATACTTCTTGGTATCACTGGACAGTGCGCAAGAGTGGCCCGACAGCTTGAAAGTTGCCGCTTGCCAATTTGACTCTGAGGCTACGGCTGTAATTCTGCTAAACCCTGCCCTTTTCAAGGGAGTCATGGACAAGCTCGCAAACAAGTGCTACACAAAACTCTGCGGGGACGGATCGGGGGAGGCGGGAAAAGCCTCGCGAGGCGCAGAGAGCTTGGTTTTTGCGACTCAAGGAAGAAGGAATGTCCGCAAACACATGCGGATGGAAGCTGTGGCCTGGGTGCAGCGTTTCTGCCCCACAACGTGGTGAATTGGACTGCTCACATGGAGAAGTGGCCAGAAGATCCTGGCGATCTGCTTCAACCCCGGACGGGGAGGCGAAGGAGACTTCTATGTTTCAGAATGCTTGCCTAGTTAGGCTGGGCCCTTCTTCTTCTCCCCTCCCATGAAACCCGTAAGGCCTTTCCTGGGCGCTGCGTGCAAGCAGGAGTGCGTGGGCGATCTGAGGTGGCCGCAGCCGCAATGGGAATCGCAAGGCGAGGCTACTGTATGAAAGTCGGTGTTTGGCTGGGCGGGGCCAAGTGCACAGAACAGGTGCAGAGAGCCAGGTGCAATAGAACCGGCGCATAGAGCCAGGTGCATTCAAAACAGGACACGCCCAATGGGTGTTCTGCCCTTGGTTTCCCTGAAACACACCCCCAGCACGCCAGGCACCTGTTTTGGATCACGCGAGCAAACATCTTTTGAGAGGACCCTTGAAATTCCCTGAGCACCTCAAACGAATCTCCAGAGCGGTTTCCTCTAAATCCAACACCTGATGCATTACTTTGTGGAAGTGGTAGCCGGGAAACTTTACAAGGCGGCAAGGCTGTTTCGAATGCAACGTTCTCTTCAATGCCCTTGCCTGGGCATTTGTGTGCCCAAAATCTGCACGAGTGGCAGAGGTGCCAACATCCACACTCCAGCCGAAAAACTCCGCCAAGGCCATTTGCGTGGAAGATGCCTCAATGGCTTTGTGCAGAAGTGAGAGCCGACCTTACAGTCACTCATCGGATCCCTTGCCAAGCAGGAGGAAGAAACCAACGGCGTGGAGTTCAACGACCTCGGAAAGCTCGTGGTTGGGAGCCCTTGGAGAAGTTGGAAAGATTCTGACGCAAGGTTTTTGGGATGGCAGTTTTCCGGGAGATCTTGCTGTTTCCTCTGATGACCCCCCACCCCCCTTTGGTATTGAGGTCGGTTGGATCCAGTCTTTCGGCTGGCTCCTTTTTTTCCGGGGGGGGGGGTTCATGGGCTGTCGAACTTTAACTGGGTTGTGTGCTTAGGCTCCAGGCTTCTGTCGGCGCAAAAAATAAGGCAAGGACCGCAGTGTCCCCCAACCAATCCAACCTCCTAAGGCCCCAACCCCACACCTTAAACCCACCCCAGCCCAACCCCACCCATCGCGCCCCAACCCCACACCCACCCAATCCCCAAAACCCGAACCCAACACAAGCCCAACCCCGGACCCCAAGCCAACCCTTCCAACCCCACCCAACCCCAAACCCCACCCAACACCAATCCAACCCCAACCTCAAACCCCACCCCAAACCTGAACCTCCCAACCCCCAAGCCAACGTCAACCGAGGCAGTGCCGCTTCAAGAGCTGCCGGGAGCATCTGCGCCGCTTTGTGGGGCGCCGCCTCCAGAGCTCTGCCGGGTGCCCCACTTGTTTTTTTCGTAGCCAGGAAAATTCGTCATACAACTTGTCCCTAGGTCCCCCAGTAGGGGAGGGTTCCTTACCAAACAGACTACAGAAAAAGGGTGGAAGACCCAGCGTCCTACAAACAACCCCCCCTTCCACCCCTTCCATAAAGGGACAGAATGGCTGGAACCACTTTTTTTGGATTAAAACCATAATTTTTGCTGGTATTTATATGGTTTTCAAAAACGGGGTTTCTTAGGGGTGCGGGCCCCCCAAAAACACCACCCCGCCAAGCACCTTCAAAAGTGGGGCTTTGTTTGGATGGGAGGGGGTGACTGGGATGGGGAGTCCCCATTCAGGGGTGTTAATTTTTCTGCCTTGCCCAACGCCAACCTTTTCACCTTTTGGTTTTCCGGTTTGGTCCATTTGTAGGTTACCTTTTTGTTTTTGGTCCTTTGGGCAAGTGAGAACATTTAGCGCCCGCTTTTGGAGCTTGAAAAGCTGCGAGAAGTTGGGCATGGGTTTGTCTCAAAATGCAATTAGAAGCCTGAAAGGGTGCAGTTTCCTTTTGTTTCCTTTTACACCTCAAAACAAGACACGGGCAGAAGGGGGATAGTCGCCGACAGGAAATCAGATTTTTGCCCTTTTCACCCGGGCAGAGCCCTGGAATGCCAGAGTTTGATTGCTACGGATGCCCTAAATGGGTGTGCCACTTTGAGGGTGGTTTTTGCAGGAAATCAAAGGACACGAGGGGTCCCTAATTTCCGAAGCACCCGTGTATTGCAAGTAAGTGAACAAGAACCCCCAAGTTTCCCTGCCCGCTTGCGCTGGTTTTGTTTTCAGCATGGTTTGGTTAACTTGCAATATTTAGGGCATGCACCGTATAGGCGTCTAGATAAATTTCCTAACAGGGCACATCCATTCTCCCATCTCCATGGCAACAAAGTGTTAGAAGCTGACCAGATGTTTCTGTTCAAATTCAACAATCTCGCCTATGAAGGGAGCTGGGATTCCTTCATTCAGGTTGGCGAACCATATTCTTTGACGCGGCAAGCCTTCTAAACCTAATCGCCACAGCTGCTTTTGAGCCGAGTTCTCCCGTCGCACCGCGTTTCGCTTTTCGTGCACCAACCCTCAAACCAAACTGGGTGCGACTTCTCCCTAGCATTGGGCAAGTGATGAGTTGGCCCACGCTATCTCAGCAGCAGTTGATGGGATCCAACGAGTTTTTGGAGGCTGGGGATTCTTTAACTCCACGCCTTGATTGATCTTTAGACGTTTAACTTTCTGGTTGAAATCAAGGAGGGTTTCCATCAAACCCACAAAAAACTAAAACCTTTTTGCAGAGAGGTCAACAGCAACCAAGATGTTTCCTAGGGCGAGTACAGCTTGCCCTTTGCGCAGGGCCCTCAGCGTTCTCTCTCCAACGGATGCGTGCCGTCGCTCGGGTGTTACTAGGTTTTAATTCATGCCAGTAGGTCAGTAAGGAATGTCGAATTTAAGCCACTAAAAGTTGAACTTTTTGCAGGGGAGCAGAAAGCAAGCCACACCCAATTGACCCTGGAGAATGATTGAGGGTTAACCAAGGTGTCCAATCCATTCAATGTGTAGCAAGAGCACACAAATTGATGCACACACATTCAATCAGACACCATGTTTGTGCCAGGACATTTCGGAGTTTGCCCCAAAATTGGGCGACCTGTATTTAAAGGGAAACCAAAAGGGCGCCAGCTATTCTGGCAAAACCCTAGTTCGCAACACACCCATAGGTCAATCTCAAACGACTTACGTGCAGCAAAGTCCATGATATATGATGTGAATCCTTAAAAAAGGAGGTAGTTACCGTGGAGAACCAGGTTGTTCAATGTGCATGTTGCATTCACATGTCCGACGTAAATATCATCGACAAACCAACACTCCTCCCATTATCGGAATCATTTGACCCAAGTAGTTGCCAGCGTTAGTGTTCTTTCTTTCCAAAATGAGGTCCTGCAGAACATGGCATCTTTACAGAAGGAAAAGGACCACCTTGGGGGGGGATGGACCATTTTGGGATTCCATTAGGTTAGTCTTCCTTGATTTGCTTCATGCCCCAGTTTGGATGCGACTTGGGCCCGGCACTGAAAGAGTACCTTTAATGGGGCGCGGCATAGTGGAGTCCTAAACCCTGCGTTGACCGGTTTTTCCAGAAACCTGACTGGTTGCAAATCATTCATCGCGACCTCAAGGGGTTCAGTTTGCGACATGTGATGATGGTTGCTTCCTTGGGAGTTCCTGTCGTCGGGGGAATATTTAGGATGAAACCCATCGATCCTTGATCTCTATGTTTGTTCGCCAGGTACCCTCCCGCAAACAAACATGGCACCTCACAGCGGGGGTTCCTTGAAGACCATGCCCCTTTTTAACGCTTTTAAGAGAAATCCTCTGCAGATTCCGTGTTTGTCTCCCAGACACGTGCAGAGAATCCCACTGCAAGCTGCTGACCCTTAGGCCTCACGTGGAGCGTCTGAGCGAGGATATGGTTTTGCCCGCCTGCCAGCAACACCTCAATATGGACCTTGGGCTGGGCTTGTTTTGAGGGCTTTGGGAGTGGTGTCAATGGGAAACCAGCATGGGGGGTCGGTCCGGTCCATCTCTTTTCTGGTTTCAAAGTCAATCGTAAATCCTTCTCTTGGCTTATGGAACGGAACAGTTTGTAGCGGTTGCTCTCAAGCAAAATTACCAGTACGACCTGTTTGCACGGTCCGACGTCCAACTGACCGCGACCCCAACTAAGCATTGCAAACATGACGCCATGTTTGTGTGTTTTTGTTTGACCGCTCCAAATGTTTGCGGCTTGTACAAGACCTGCTTGGATGTGGCGCGGATGTGTTCAAAGCTTCTGAGGAGGATTCAGGGTCAGCTTCCGACGTTACAACCTGTCTCCTTTTGAGTCCTCCCCGAGATAGACTCGCCAAGTTACGATTGGGAAACGGAGGGTACTCACCAAATCCAATGTCATTGGGGAATGTCATTGGGAGGCACAATGAACATGAACTGAGTTGTTGTTCCTGATAAGCTCGAACGGGAATCAACCAGTGGGACATTGCCACCTGTTTTGTTGCATGTCCGCTCACTTGTATTAGGCGAATCGACCGGGTTTTTGACCAATTTTGGTGTCCCCTCTTGCCACCATTTTTTTGTCACGGCCCCACAAGATCCCTTCCCGTTGTGCTTCTGTGTCCTTGGGGCGATACAAGTCAAAGGGGTGCCAAAAGACCATCCCATATGTGACCTGCAAAGAGGTCTTAGACTCCCACTCCTTGAAAGAACTTGTCATATGGTACATTTCTTTAAACCCTATGGATTGAGGGGAAATCCAGCGTGGTATATGTTCCAGTCAGTGATTCCATTTGGAAGACCTAATAACCAGGATTTGCCCACCTTTTTCGAGTGGTTCCATCCAAGTAGCCACCTGTTACTTCAATTTGCCTGAGGTGTTGTTTGTTTCTTTCCCTGGCTTGAGAAAATTCAGCAGGAGCACTTTGACTTTGACTTTATCTCTTGTTGCTGACTGTGCAGCTATGTACGAACGCCGGCCGAAGCGTGTAGCTCGACACCACGATTCACGGATGGAAGGCAAAATTAAGGCAGCACTGGCAACACCCAATGCGGGCAACATGATCTGCAGCGCCCCAACCCCCCCCCAAAGGCAATTTTGGTAGATGGTACAACTTACCTGGCTTCAGATGGTGGGGCCCGAAAAAACTCCTTTGTAACCATCACAAGGCAATGCCTAGGGTTCAAAAATCGTGAAAATAATGATAAGCCGAATTTAGATGATGACACTCCTTAGATATCACAATAGGTAGACCATGGTGATATTTTCTCCAATGGTTTTGGTGGTAGCTGAACCTGAAGGGAATTAGGTTCATTGGTGACGGAAGTCTGGGCTCATCTCTGATTCGATCGCCAGGTACCTACTGGACGGCTTCCCAAGAGCCCGAATGATGCTCCTCTCAGCGCCGGCAGTCCGGTGGGGAAGGGAGGGGAGGTCTGGGCGAAGAAACATGGCTGTGCACCACCCATTTTAGAACCTATTTTTTGGTGGGGATTGGGATGTTCACTGGGGGTACGATTTGGATTTTGTCCCATTGCCAATTACAAACATGCCTTATTTCAGGTAATCAAGGGAACCACCCTTTAAAAACCAATAGGAAAATGGCTAGTTACCTACCGTAAGGGAAACCGGGATTCACTGGGCTATGGCCACAAGATCTCATGTTTGAAGGTCTGGGGTCAAAGGCCGTATTTGGGCTCGGAGACATCTGCACCCTCGGCTAAAACGGAACAGATTGAGATTCTGGGGTCAAAGGCCTGAATGTTGACCAAGGAAGCATGGAAGCATGATTCTCCCATTTCCCATGAGTTGTGGTTTAAACCCCCCCATTCTCTTGCGTAGGTCCCTATGGACCACCTTTTCGATGCTTCCAAAAGCCGAAGCACATGCCAAGGTGTGGCTGTCCAGGAGTGCAGCCATGGGGTTGTGCCAATGGATGCGGTTCCCTGTGAAAACAGCCTTGCTGCTCGGTTCCCGTCGTTTTGTTTTTTTCGTTCTGGTTCCACAACACCATGCCCTGCCAAGACCTCAGTGTACAAGGTCTTCTCAACTTGTTGCTTAGGTTTGGATTGAGAACAAACAACACTTGACCAAATAGAAGCCCAAGGGGAAGTATAATGGGTGGTTTGTCCGGGTCCACATATCTGGATATGTGCCCCCAATTCCAAGAAATTCGGGGGCAAACGAAAGCGCAGAGCAGGTTTCAAGTTTTTGCAGGGGAAACCCAGGCCTCCAACAAACGCGTCATTTTGGCTACACTGGGCATTGATTCAAGGAGCTAATTACACAGATGATTCCCTCATGATCATGAGGCAATGTGGCAATGGTACGACTTGAGGCCTGCGGTGAGTTAAGAAGCTTGCATTCTCAATATAATTGGGTCCTCGTATCCAGGACGAAAGGGGCTATGAATTACTTGCTGGTAGTATGTTTGCGTTTTTTGAGGGTACCCTTTTCGGCGTGGAAAGCGGCAACGGCAAACCCCCATTTTTGGGTTGGTCCCACTAGACCACCTCGAAAGTGGACTCATGAATGCTCCCAAAGTCCTTTCAACTCGCAGGTGGTTTATCAACCAGATAGTCCAGGGTTGTGGGAATCCCCCTTTATATGAAAGACATAGTCTTTGGGAAGCCCTTTCTGTTGTATCACAGAGCTGAGAGGTTTTCTGGTACCTCAAAAGTGGACATGAATGCTCCCAAAATCCTTTCAAAGAAGCGCCAGGGTGGTTTATCAACCAGATAGTCAGAAGGCTTCATAGATCCCAGGTCCGCGTTTTGATTTCCGTGTGATAATTGGTGGTTTTCCTTTTAAAGGGACCTCTTGTCCCGAAATTCAGGTTCCGCGTGTTAGTTGGTGGCAGGGTACATCCCCGGTCCGCGCGTTTGGATTTCGACAGAGTTCGGACTTCCAAGGCTGGACGAGGCCAAGTTCTCCCCGCGCTTCTCACAGCTCTTCAGCGCCTTTAGGCGACGCAGCTGAGGGATGTCGAGGTTACTCGCATTTTGTGTGTGTTTCTTTGGTTGAATTTGTAGACAAACAGAGGTTTGCTCGCATTTTGTGTGTTTTCTTTTGTTGAATTCGTGTGTAAACAGCTTTACCAACCACCGGGCTCCAAACAACCAATTGGAGGGAAGCTGAGGGGATCCTCCATGCCGCACCATGCCCTTGTCTCAGACCTCCAAAAGCGGTTGTTTCAATGGAAACCAGGAAGCTGATCGACGTTCGATTCGGGGAAATCCAGGCCTTACTTCAACCTGCAAAAGCACGTGTCTTTGACTATTGTAAGGCTGCACGATATGAATGCAGGGTTGTTTGGATAACAGGGAAGTGAAATCACGGCAAAATATTGCACGGAACACGGAGCACCTTAGCAATTGCAGATCTGTGGCATCCTCTAATTGGTTTTTTTGTTTTTGTGGCTGTGATCCTGGCAGAAACAAGGAACTCTGAATGATGTCAACCCAACATTGAAAGAACATGTTATTTACCAGGGAAGACCCGGCCCTTCAAAATATACCCTGAAAAAGAGAGGGCAGTTGGAGTTGGGCTTGAGCCAACAGCACCCTCTTCAAAGAGGTTTCGTATTTTTCTCCACAACAGCCCCTGGTTCTTCAACAGGAACCCCCGAGTCTCCAGGCTTGTCTTTTGGACACAGACCGCAGACCAACCGATATTTGGCTGATTGGGAACTCGAGCCCCAGCCGCTCGGGGAGCTCTTTGATTTTATGTTTTCAGATATTTACGGTTCACTACAGATTGGTGAAATGTAAATCACACTGGACTTTGAGATTCACATTCTCTCGTTTACATTTCGACCAGAATTAGAAATGAGATACTCTGGATGGACGAAATCCTGCACCACTTTGAAACCATGGGAAACCATTGTTTGCTGGTATTAGGTGGTGCAGGATTTCGTCCATCCACAGATATGTGGTTGCAAGCGCCGTTATTTTTTCCTCCGATTGTTTCAAGCTCACGAGGTCGAATGGGGAAAAACCAATTGGAAGCTTGCAGCCATCGGGGACCTGGAGTCGGAGCCTTCCTGTGAACTTATCATAGTTGTTCGGGTAGATACATTCATGGGTGTTTTGCTTTTTTTGGTATGTCAATTACCACGTCCGGGATGGTTTAAAATGCAAACCAAAAGGACACCACCCATTTTGGGGGTTCCAACATTTTGAGACAAACCTTCATAAGTCCCCTTTTGAACCATGCTTTACCCATCACAGGCCGCCTAAGGCCGCCTAAGGACATGACTTGGGTCACTTGGCATGGAGGGGCCATGGAAACGCCCGGTGATTTGTTCCATCCTTTGGGCCCTAAGGCCGCTTAAGGACATGACTTGGGTCACTTGGCATATAAACGCCGGTGATTTGTTCGACTCCGGCGACCAAATTGCGTCAGGCTCATCCAGCAGCCAGGGCCACGGGAGCCAGGTTGCGGGGTACGGCAGGGTGGTTCCAGGCACTCCCCTTAGAGTCAGGTTGGTCCCTCCAGTTCCCTGTTTTTAGACCAAAGTGGCGATGGTGTCAATGGAAGCCACCAGTAAGTTTCAACTTTTGATTTGAGGAAAGCCAGTAACCCCTGTAGCTTGTTAGGTGTTTCTGTTGGTTTAGTAGTAGTTTCCACACCACAAGTTAGATTTTTTTAGTGGGTCAAAGGGGACAGAGTGATCAGAACCAAATGGCACTGATTCCCTTCTGGACAAGTAAAGAGGATGGCTAAACCAAAATGGGTGTAGCTCAAAATTAAAGAGCTAGGGTTACGCAGGTTTTAGTCTTTGCCTCCATTTGCCAAGGGGGCCATTTTGGGGCCATTTTGGGTACCATTTTCTGAGTCGCAGCCAAATGAGGGATTATGCCATCTACTTTTACCCTGCAAATAATTAGAATGGGGTTGTGGTTGGACTTATTGCCATCACACAAACAAAACATCATATTCCTTGGCCTGGGTTGCATCTTGTTTGTACTGTCGTGCAGGGTTGGCTGTCTACTCTCTTGATAATTTAGATGAGCCCAAAGAGATGCCATGTTTTTGGGTCTTGCTGTTTTTACAGGCTACTGGCCTGGCAAAGGAGTTTTTCCACAAACCCCACAGCGGAATGGCGCCCGTGACCCGCTGCACACATGACCCAGATTTGAACGCGTGAACACCTGGGGGTCAACCAGTTGAAATGAGAGATCAGATCATCTAGGTCCCCCAGTAGTGCCCTTTTACCGTCTCTTTTTTGGGGGAGGGTTCCCCTACCAAAATAGACTACAGAAAAAAATCGGTACCCTTATTCTAACCTCTCTACTGGAGGACCTAGTCATGGCCCGGTTTTTTGAGGCATTTGTGAAAGTGTTGCTCCAGCGCGCTTCCCCTCAATGAAGAGAGGGTCAACGATGTGTGTCCGCATGGAATTCCACTGTACAACTTGCAAACAAAGCATTTGTACCTGACAGTGTGTCACAACCACAGAGGTGTTCAAACGGCGGTTTCCTTAGCAATATCACCCCCCGACATTCAATTCCAAACACCTCTTGGTCCAAAATCTACATCCTTCCCTACAACAAGTTCGAAGACAGCCAGACAAACTGAGCACCAGTCCCCAGCCCACCACACCAAGAACCTCTGAACATGTGCCACTTTGACATGCGTGTTTTGTGGGATGTGTAAATTGCCGTTGTTTTCCTATGGTTTTCGGACAACCGCCCCAGACCTGCAAAAGAAAGCGGCCCATTATTTGAACACGACGCAAGTCGCCCCCTATGCGGTAGGTTGAGGGGAAACAACCCGAGTTTCTGACTTCAAGCCCAAAACTCAGTTGTTCAAAGCCGACCTTTTGACCTTTTGGTTTTCCAATTTTGGCAACCATATTTAGTCATGGCCCCAAAAGGTTAACCTTTGGGTTCCAGGTCCTTTGAGAAGCAAAGCGGCTTGAGGACGGGTCTGGACGTGGATTTCCGGGTGCCGAGCACTGAGCTTTTGCCGGGGTCCCTGGAGCCCTGACGTTTGCATCGGAGACATTTGGCTGTGGCTCAAAAAACCGGTACCAAAATGGAAACATGGACCAAAACCCGCGGTTTGCCCCTCCGGTTTGATTTTGAGCCACAGCCATTTGGGGGCCCAACGTGATGAAACGTTTGAAACTTGACTGGCGGCTGGTTGTAGGCTTGGAGGTCAGAGGTGTCAGGGGTGCCAAGCTCGGAAGAATGACCAAGGTAGCCCAAGAAGAAAAAAAAAGAAAGAAAAAAGAAGAAAAAACAAATTGGCCAAATGAAAAGATATTTGTGCCCTTTGTCCCAAGTGGACGATCGGGACCTTCCTGAGCAAAGTAGTCTTCCACAACCGTCTGATCGTCATCTTCTTCCATTTGCTTAAGAATATGGTTTGTTTTACCTTCCCAGTGCTTCCGGTTACCTGTATAGTTGGTAACCAGCTTGGTTACCTACTATATTGGTAACTGGTCGGTAGTTCCCAGAACCACAGAAAAGGCTACATAATAGAGGGCAGAACCGTGAAACAGAGTGCCGGAACCGTGAGATAGGGGGGTGGAACCGTGAATTGGGAGGCCGGAACCGTGAAAACCGTGAGATTGGAATCTGGTTCCTACTTTTTTGGGAACCGAGCTTGGTTCCAGAAAAATTGGTAACCAGGGGCCAGTTACCTGCTATACAGGTAACCAGGAAGCGCTGGGCTTGTTGGATTTATAGGGAATCCGTCACCACTAAATCTGTTTATTTTTCTCTTTTTTGCCGGCGGGATTATGCAAATGGAAGTCTTCCATTGTTGAATTGTTGGGAGGGTAAATCCTGGGAGGAGTCTCCCGATTGCTAAAGTTGCCAGTTCTTGCCTGCCCCCCACCAAGCAACCAGTTTTATTTTAGACACGTGGGAGGGGGGAGATGATGTCATCCCTGACCAAAGCAGGAGGTTTGCAAAAGTATTTAGTAGTTGGGTGTTAATAAAAGGGACTCAATAGGAAACGTGTCGGGCTTGCGTTCTAAAGCTGAACTCTGATGCTCATGATTGGCCTTCGGTGTGTCGAAATGGCGTTCTGACAATCCAGTCGCAGGGATCGGTGCGTTTGACCTTTTAAGACAAAGTCAAGGGACCCTGTAGAAGTGTGGATGCCTTCTGTCATTTTCCTCAAAAGAGTGTCAGAAGCTAGCCCCTTGTGACAAATCGCAACGCAGAGGTTTTTTACACCGTGTGACAAGCCATATTATGAGGTTCGGTCAAAATATGTTGTTGTTTTTTTCCATTTATTGATTTGGGCGGGACAGGGAGGGAGGCACTCCATTTCCCCCAAAAGCAAAACAGGGCCCCGCCATGGACATCTTTGTCGGCTGGTGTTCTTAGACACATCGAGCAGTGCCGTCCTGGAGGGAGAGCCAGGCGACTCCCTGCAGTCTAAATGACCCCATCAAAGAAACACGCACATCCGTCCAGCATGCGAGCCCGACCCCACCACAAGGAACGGATGGGCCAAGAGAACGGGGCATGTGCTCAGAGCTGAAAGCTTCTGGAAAGGGTCAAACCCAGTGAAACCCTGCACCTGGAAGCAGCAACAGGTCTCAAGCCCAAAGCGGGATGACCAACTCGATGCTAAGTGAAACTTCCAGAACTCATGGCTGCTTGCCTAATGAGAGACCTTTGGCAACACCCTGCGCCCGGCTACCCGTGCCCCGTTTAGGAAGACCATCGCGGCTCGAGGGCCCCGTTGGTGAAGCCGGGCGTTTTTGGGGCCTTGGCGGCTCCAACCGAGGGAAGCAGGAGGAATGAACAAACCCCCGATGGATTATCGGGGGATGCTCCATTTAATGGTAAACGCGTCGCGTGGCCCGCCTCGGCCTGTATGCTTTTGGCTGGCTTTGAGGTACTGTGCTTTGGTCGGCCTTGAAGTGTTGTGTTTGTTTGAGTGTGAGCTGGTTCCCAAGATAAATATGGTGCGAACATGTTCGCGCGATTCCACACTGCTAGGGCTAGAACGAGTCTGAGGCAGTCTGAGAGCTGCAAAAGGGCAGCTGGACCGGGCTAGGGAGGAACTTGACTGGTTTCTACTCACTTCCTGAGTTCATGAACTTCAAACTTTTTGGGAAGACCATTTTAGTGGTAAATCTAAAGTTTGGACTTTTTTGGGGCCACCCACTCGGCAAGTGAGTCCAGGGTGGATTTGACCAGTTTCTGGGATGGTTTTCGTGGGTTCGGGCCGCGGAAGGATCTGGCCTCAGGTGCTTCTTTTTGCAAGACAGGAAACCGGATCCCAGAAAACAGCCACAAAAAGCAGCCGCAGTCGCCAGTTGCCGGTTTTGGGATAGGGGTGCTTCTCTTGGGGATCAACCCAGTCCAAAGATAATCTTCTGGTTTCCCCCTTTTTGGCAAGCTCGGCAGGGAATGAGAAATGGAATCGGAATGACCCATATAAACCATCCCTTCTCTGGTGGTTTCTACAGCTTTTGGTCTGAGTTTTCCCACATCATCGCACTAAAGGTGATCAGTCGGATGCTCGGCCAAGTTGGTAAGTGGTTCGCTACCTGGGGTATAACCTACTTGTGAGTTGGGCCGGTTGTAAGTAGGTTATACTCCAGGTGGCTAAGCACTTGCTAACTTGGCCTTTCACCTCTGGGCTTCCTCTTTGAAGCGGAGCCAAAGCTGAGGCAACTGCTGATCTCCAAGAAGATGTTCGCAGAAGCACGGGAGTGGGCCAAGCAGAGTGGCCGCACCCTCGGGCAGACCCCTGACCGCCCCATTTGTAATTTGGGGGGGGGGGATCTTCGTATTTTGAGACATAGCCTGGCACCTGTCCGAACTTGAAGCTTTTCAGGGAGGGGTGGCGTTTGGTTGTGTTAGTTGCCATGCCCTTTATAAACGGCAACGCTGGCAAAAAAATCAAACACCCATTCAAGGGAAGCCGGAATAGGATGCTTAAGCAGGCGCCAACATGATTTTAATGTCTTCGGGTCCAAATATGAAGCAGAATCTGAAAAAGCAAAAAAGAGAGCAAACTTTCAGTGTACCCCAAACAGCCAGAAGTCTTTGGTGCGGCCTTTGGCCCCATTTTCGACCGAGGAGTGGCAGGGGATACCGTAGTCTTCGAGGAGGTGACCGGTCACTCGGCAGCAGTTCGACTGAGGAGTGGCAAACAAGTTGGTCCCCCAGTAGTGCCGGTTCTCACCCTTTGTTTGGGGGAGGGTTCCCCTACTAAAATAGACCACAGGAAAAAGGGTGCCCTTATTCTAGCCTCTCTAGTGGACCTAGAAACGAGTTCCACCTACAGATCAATATGTCCCGTTTTTGTTTTAGTCAAAATGATGGCTTTCCTTCTTTGGGTTTCCCTCAAAAGCCACCAAACAGCACCAAGAGTCTTCAAGCATGGTGTATTGTATACGCCAATCAGTTCAGCCACATGACCTGCCACTAGGTGTCGCGATTCCAGATGGTATAGTCGATTTTCCATGATGCCGATGCAGCTGAACAAGCAATTTGCAATGAGAGAATCGGTCTACGACTACTATGTACAGGAAACCAAATGATTTGTTGACCTGGTAACAGTCCTATCAACAAACATGTGGATCGCATTGTTCATGTCGATTGCATGACAGATAGTCCCCAGTGTCGATGTCTGGTTGTGTTGTCGGATATCTCAGATATCTCTCTTACGATAGTTGCTTGTTGATATCAACCATTCTGTGGACGGATTCGTTCCTAGGTTCCCTAGGCTAAACTGTGGATTTCTCTGTTCACTGTGGATGGGTACATCCAGGATTGCCCATCCACAGAGAAGATCGGCACAGGCGAGTCCCAAGTGGCGGCTCAGGTATGATCGTCGAATTCCGGCAGGCCGAGAGTTGAGCGAGGGGCAAAGACGGTGGCGCGCAGACTTGGTTTCGATCAGGTTAACCCTTGATTGGTGCATTTTGCTTGGATGTTAGGACTTTAACTTTTGGGAAACATCGGGTAACCCAACAGTTGGTGGTTTGGGTGGGTTTGGATTCGGATTTGAAGCCTTGGTTCTTGTTGGTAAATGGGAAGCTGCAGAAAACACCTTCGGACCGCCAATCCAAACCACCAACAACCTGGCAACTTTGGCTGACCCAGCCTTTTGTGATTTTAGCCCCCCAAACTCAAGATCACTTGTCTTCATGGTTGTTGGCAAGTTGTTTAGTGTTTTGCTGTTTGTTTGGTTATGTCCAGTTTTACTAGGGGGCTTCCATGCCAACGATTGTAGAGTTGTTGCATGTCAACTGTCAACTGACCAAGAAGGCATGCCAATATAAGCCGTAAAAGCAAGGGCGTACTCAGAGGGGGTGCAATACTTTATCAAGACTCCGACTCTGCAACGAGTTCAAACACAAGTATCAACACTTTGCCACGCATAACCTGTCAAAACTTGATTTCGGGCACCCACATGTTGACCAACTTTCCTCGTGGAAACTCCTGTATCCAGTTTCACGTGCATCCTGTGGAGCAGCTATGTTGACATTGGCTTGAGGGAATCGCATGGATGCTCTTAGGCCACCTTTCCCTTGGCTCGCCATGGCCAAATGTTTCGACCAGTGTCGTGTCCTCTTGATTTGTTTGTCACAAATCATGGAGAGCCGCGTGAACAATCAGTTCCTTCTTGGGTCTCAGCTATTCGGTTCCTTAGCTTTTGAGCTGTTCAGAGTTTCGTGGCGGTGTCCATTTAACCCACACGTGAAACTTTTAGCAGGGGATCTGAGGACACCGCAGTTTCTTGCTTCGTGATTTCCAGTTGAAGCGGACAACACTTGCACAGAATGGCCAATCTAGAAGTCTCCGATCTCTGGCTGAAGACCCTGGACTGCACCCTAACAACCTCTCTGCTCTGCACTGATGTATCATGATTTATCAGTGTCCGCATGAATCAGGAATCCAGCAGACCCAATTGCTTGTAGCGTCTGCGACTTGTGTCCTGGGAGAAGCCTGTTGGATGATACTGTGGATGGACGAAATCCTGCACTGCCCGAGAAACCCTGGAATGAGGATTCCACTGTAAATACCAACACACAATGGTTTCCCATGGTTTCAGAGTGGTGCGATCGGATTGCGTCCATCCACAGTACCACCGCCAGTCACCTGGCCGACTCTTCCCTGCCAGGGAGCGTGGTGGAATGTGCTGGCAGAGCGAGTGCAGCTTTGGCACAAGTGCCGGTAGCCCAGCAACTTTTAGTGCACGTCACGAAGCCCCTGCCCGGCCAGCAACCAAGCGAACGAGCAAGCAAGCAAGTAACCTCCCAATCAAACAAAATAAAGAACCCAGCAGAAAAGAAACAGAAGCTAAGGAGTTGCAACCTGATGGTGGGGCTTTCACAATGCGACTTGCTTTCCTACTCCTCGACCCCTCAAGGATTCTAAGAGGAGTCTCCACTGGTGGTTGGCTTCTTAGCTTTCCTTTGAAAGCATGCAAGACGGGCTTCCTCCTTCATATTCACAACGGTCAATATTTATTGTCATTTGCTTTGGCAAAGTGTATGACATGGGGCACAACCACCAAAATACCGTTTGGAAATCAGGGTTTTTTCACCGACCTCGAACATCGGCTGCCCTGCGTCTTTTGTCATTTCACCAACATCAGGGGCTCACCAAGATCCACCTTCGGCAGCATTCGGCTGTTCGCCCTTTCAATGACAGTGGGGAAGTTATTCAGCTTCTCGATGCTTGGATGGACCGACTGTTTCAGCTGCTATCATTGTGCGCACAGCCTTTCGCTCCACCAGTCTGTGGACCAGTACTGCTCTCTACTGAAACTTGGTTTTTATTCATGAGTTCGTCCTGTTCCTAGTGCCCATGGGTTGAAAGTGAGACAAGCATGAAGCAGGGATTCAGCCCAATGGGAAGAGTACAACTCGGCCTCCGCAGGTTTCGGCCTTCCTTTTTCAAGGGCGCAGGATCAGTGCGAGAGTTTGGAGCCAACACAGTTACTCAGTTGCTCAAAGCGAATCGACCTTTTAACCTTTTGGTGTTCCAATTTTGGCAACCATTTTTGGCCCCAAGAGGCCAACCTTGTATTTCTGGATCCCTGAGGGGCAAGTGAGAACAATTGGGCTGATTTCCGATTGAAAGACCCCGCAGCTTTTGTTGCTTCATGTTGCTTAAACACCTCGCACAGAGCGCCTTTTGAGGGAGCCAAGTTTGGGTTTGTCCAATCTTGCTGCGTTTTGGGTTTCAGCAAGTGACCCCATTCAGCTGGGTTTTGGATGTACCCGCAGCCGAGGCTTCAACGCCTTTATGCGCCAAAGCAAACCGCCCGTGGGCGCCGGACTCAGATGAAATGGCCGGGGGCTGGCCGTGGGAGTCACACCGTTTTGGAGGGTACCTTCTTTTGGAGGTGGTTTACTTGCATTTGCTTAAGAATAAGGGAATGCTTCATTCCATTTGGTTTACTTCCGTTTATCTTCCCATGTTGGTGTTGAAGGGAATCTGTCACCACTGGATTGCGGACTTTAACACATGGAAGTTTAACTTGCTGTTGCGATGGGGAATGACCGTTCCGGGTGTTGGGAATGAACCGGAAGGGGATTCTCTGAAAGGAAGCCACAAGGGATGGCTTGTAGAGAATCATTCCCTCGTTCCCAAAAAGGAAACCACTATAGTTTGTGGGAACCAACAGGGAAACCACTATGTTGGCACCTTCGGCATTGGGGTTGAAAAAGGGGCCATATTTCTGACAACCCGAATCGCCGAATGAGCGGAGCTAAATGGCTGGTGTCCCATTTCTCCTTTGAAATACCGGAACCAAAAGGGTACGATATAGGTTTGACTGTCTCAGTCCGACCAACCCCAACTCCACCCAACTCCACCCCAACTCCACTTCTCCTGTTCCACTCCCACTCCCTTCCAATGCAGTTCCGACGAGAGTCCTCAAAAAGAGCCCCGCCTTGTGGCAGCAAAAGCAGACGTCCAATCTGATAGTCTGGCGGACCTAGATTTGTGTTTGCCCCGGCTATCCACTTATGGAGCCCCAACACGTGAACTATTGAAACCGCCTGGGGCTCGACCATATGCCCCTCGCATTTGTTTATCCGCAAGAAGAGGCGAGCCATGAGACTCGACTCCTCTGGGCTGTGAGGGCCTGGCGAACGGCGAGTTTGGAGGAAGCCGGGGCCAGACTTTCGGGTGCCCGGCTCGGTAAGGGGGAAAGCAACAAGTACCAAGTAGCACCGAAAGCTCAAGAGCGTTTTCTCCACCATACTGTGCTCTGTCGCCCAGTGGATTCCGCCCTTTTTTCTTCTCTTTTTGGGAAGGGTTCCGATTCCTTGAAACTCAACCAACCAAAAAAGGATGCCTTTTTCCTATGGAAATCCACTGGGCATCTGAGTGTGGATGGCGACGCGAACTCCATCCAACGCACGAAATGAGACCACGCTTGAAATCACAACGTGTGCCGGTCGGTATTTATGTTAGGGGAATCGATTCATTCCAGAATCTCTTACAGAATGGTGGTGCATTGGATGGATTCCCCAACCATCCATGGTACCTAGAGTCTCCATGACCCTTCAAAAGGGTCATGGAGACTCTAGGTAGTTAGATACATTTCTGGTTGTTGGTACTTGAAGTCTACCAAAATTCCCGGTGCCAAAAGGTGCCTTTGCTCCGTTTTTTGTTGGGGCGGGGGCCCCTAAAAGAAGCAGAAGGATATAGTTGGGGATATCAAAATTTGACCTGGCGACTTCCCAACATTAGGAACGTGAGAAACCCTGCAGCAACCGTTTCCCGTGAAAATTGGGTACATGTATTATGCCCTACTTTTCTGGGATACAGGTTCCCTCAAAGGACACAACATGATTACACTCCCATCCACCAACATGGAACCTGACTGAGGGGTGGAACCTGACTGGAGTTACCCGGCTACCCATGGTCATTGAGTAACTGTTCCCATTTAGTGGTTCAAATCCAATCTTGTTTGGTGTTTTTCCCCAGATAGCTGAAAGCTATAGGGGTTCTAACTTCTAATAAAGAGGGGAAAGTGATTTGCGAGATTGAGGGCCGGGTGCTAGGGGGCATGCAGTTTGAGGTGCTGGTGGATGCTGCTTTGCGAGCTTGACGGCCGGGTGCTAGGGGGGCATGCAGTTTGAGGTGCTGGTGGATGCTGCTTTGCGAGATTGAGGGCCGGGTGCTAGGGGGCATGCAGTTTGAGGTGCTGGTGGATGCTGCTTTGCGAGCTTGACGGCCGGGTGCTAGGGGGCATGCAGTTTGAGGTGCTGGTGGATGCTGCTTTGCGAGCTTGACGGCCGGGTGCTGGGGGGCATGCAGTTTGAGGTGCTGGTGGATGCTGCTTTGCGAGCTTGACGGCCGGGTGCTCGGGGGCATG